GTTCCTTGATCTTCTCTCGGACGAGCTCTCTAATTCGAGGCCGGTGCTCAATTGTGGCAGGTGCGGCAACTTTTGGCATTGCTGGCACAGAATACTTTTGGGAATTGGCTGGAATGATTTCCCAAACATTGCCTACGAGCTTTGCAGTTGCAGGAGGGCATTGAGTTGCCTCAAGCCGGGCCGGTGAAGATTTCTTCTTTTTGCCCTTGCTGCCAGATGATGATGCTGGCTTTTCCTCCTGCTCCTTGGCTGCTTTCTTTGCTTCTTCCTCGATGATCAGCTTCCTATCTTGGGGTCCTAGCATCTTCCACAGTTCTGAGTCGATCCCCTCCGGACGCTTTGAACCTTTGTAGTTACGTACAATCCGGTGACCATCCCAATGATGTCCATCTGGAATAATTTCATCTTTGGGGGTCAATTTGAGATCTGGAAATACGGGCGCTTCGGGTGCATCAGGCTCGACATCGCTGTCGGCTGGTAGAGGCGTACCTGGCTCGTATTCATACTCATCTTGCGGTGGATGCAAACTGGACTCAAGAGGCACAGCTTTGGGTGTCTGCGGAATGACCTGGTCCTCGAGGCGATCGGCTTTGGGTGCTTTCGAGTCGATCAGAGCTTTCAAAGGAAAGATGAAACCCTCGGATGGCAATTCCAACCTCTTTGTTCTTTGGATTGTCAGTGCACCCCAGTTGACATGATAATCTGCGGCTTCCAACTTGGCAACTAAGTATTCACCCTTCCAATCATGACCTGGTTGGATGTAATACCCAAGGAAAATTCCTTCATTTGCTGTTGGGGAGAGCTTACCTGATGTGTTATCCAACCTCTTGGGGTTATTCCAGAACAACACTTTGGCACCAAATGGGATGTGCATTGCAGGGAACTCTTCACCAAACCTGAGTTGCCATGGGGAATCACTGCCGTCAAGCTGGGGGCTTGCATTGATCGCGGTCGCATGATGCTGCATGGCCAATGGCCACATCTTCAAAGGAAGTCCTGATTGCAACAAGTTGCTCCGGGCACCTTCCAACATCTGACGAACTTCGCGCTCAGCAAAGGACTTTGATGAATCTACGTATTCAATGGAAGTTTGGTGTCTGTAACCCAAATCCTTGATGGCCCTGATCAATTCTGGGGAATTGTCAGTGTACACAACTTGAACATCATCCTTTGATCCAATGAAGTGATTCAAACCATCAACACAGCTTTGTGAGTCCTTGGACTGGCTAGGGTAGACATACCGATATTGGGTGTGCAGATCTTTCAACACCAACGCAACTTGCTCTCCCCTGAAACCCTCTTCTACATTTTTCTTAATGATGACGTGATCCCCGATGATGTGGTCGCCAAACACTTCAGTTTCGATTCTCTTCTGACCACCCTTCTTTCGTGCCTGAGGTGCCATCATTCTTGCTCGTTGGCAGGTTCTGCAAAAGGGGTTCTTGGGGAAATGCGTGTACTGATGTTGGGTACTTGCAGCTTCAGCCAACAGATCCTCAGTCTTGCGGCTTCGGATGTCCTCCTGCTGAGCGTCATCCTCCACCAGCTCATCCAACTGCTCTTCATCTTGGGCTTCGTCCCGCTTGGCTTTTGAGCTCGACCGTGAGGTCGGCATTGCAAACAACTTTTTGAGGTGCTTATCCTTTTGAAATTGATCTTTGGGATAAACCTTGCAACTATCATCCAAGATTGGGACATGACCTTCGATCTTGAGCTGGACGACCTTGTCATCTGGACGGACTAGGATTGGGTTGCCATTGGCAGGCCATACGAAACTGTAACCCTGATCTACACATCTCGTTCCTACGGAGAGCACAGCTGGGGTATGATCAAGCACATACGGATGCACGGGATCTGGCAATGCGGACAACTTGACATCAGCAACTTCGTTTGCCTCAGTCGAACCGTTGGCTGTGACTAAGGAAATCGGATGCTCGGCTGCACGGCAGTTCTTGGCACTTACATCCCTCAGCATTCCTTTGGACACAAGATCGGATTCACTACCTGAGTCAACGAGCCAACTAACACCGGCCTTTGGCGCAGCTGTGGCAATTGACGGGAAACGACCAATGTCTCTAAGGGCTTTGGGACCGCTGATGAACCTGCACTCTTTGCATGTGATGTCACGTGTGTCCTCATCCCAACAACAAAACCCACAACTTGGTGCAACATCTGAATCATGAAGTTTCACAGTTTCTTGGAGCTGTCTTGCACGAACCTGAGCTTCATGCTGTTCAACCTTTGATGAAACTGGAACATCTTCAGCTGTCTTGTACACCTTAGTGAACTCTCTTGGACGGTGCTTGACTGGGACTTGACGACCAACTGCCTTCACCTCGATCACATGTGGGGCCTTTCGGAATCTAAGACGCTTCATGCTGACACTTGCCTCATCAGAGCACGAAGTTGCCTTCGGCTGTTTTCGGACGATGCATGCAAATTTCTGGATCAGACATGGAGCGGCTGTGGAATCCTTGCCCTTCTTCTTGGGAGCGGGTGAATTGGCCCTTTTGGTGTCTTTGGTGGCGGCAGCGGCTTTGTCATCATGTTTATAAAAACATTTGTCACCACGTCTGCACTTTCCCTGGGCATGATAGATGCATGGGGTTTTGGCCATCTCTTCTTTGGACATCTTCTTCCCCTTATCATCCTTATTGCCCCTTGATGGTGAACGTGTTTTGGTTCTTCTGGGTGATTGCGTTCGAGATTTATCATCTTTGACATGCTTGAATGGACACTTCTTTCCCTTATCACAGGTACCCTTTTGGAACTTATAGCAAATCTTGTCACCTTTGCCACCTCGTTCCTGCGATCTACCGCGACTTGGAGAGCCCTTTCGGCCGCCGCGACCATCGCCTTTGGCGGGTGCGGCCTTTGTGTCCTTAATCCCAGCCTTGTTCTTCTCCGCAATGCGGTTCCTGTTCTCCCTCAATCGTTCGCGATCGATCAAGTTCTTCATGGATTGGTGAAGAAAACTGTAAGACTTTTCATGGGATTTCTCATGAGCACGGTCAAACACCTCGATGTCATATTTCAGCAACTGACTTGGTCGGATCTGCCTCAACAAGATGTCCCTTAACACAGCATCATCAGGGGTGACAGCCATGCCAGCTAGGGTAGCATCCCATTTGTTGATGAATCTTCGGAGATCCTGGACAGTATCGCCTACTTTGACAACACCCAAAAGATCTTCTACTCTGTAAAGGCTACCTGCTTCTTCTGATGTCTTGAAGTAGTCCTCAAACATAAGCAGAACATATCTTCCCCTGACCTGGATGCCTTTTCGGGATTGCTGCTCCTTGAAATTCAAGATCCTAGTTGCGAGGTCCCCTCCGGCTGAGCGCGTGAGCGCTGCTGATAACTTTGTATCCAGCGTAAGGAACTTTCCAGGATCTTGGAGTTTCTTCTCCAACTGCTCTCTGGTGCACTCTTGATCGTACACCTCGTTGAGCCAGAGCCACGCCTCATCCGGGCGATCTGAACAGCTCTTCACTTCATCCCTGACATGATTCTTCCAAGTTCTATATGACTCCGGAGCGGGCATGTTGTTCAGCTTGATGAGTTCAGCCTCCTTAGTTTTTGGCTTATCCTTTTCTTCCCTTTGGGTTAAGGCTTTCACCAATTCAATAAGATCTGAGGGACCCATAACTTGCTGTTGCTTGGTTGCGCTCTTAGGAGATTCATTTGGGGGAGTTTTGATAGCTTCAGTGGGAGTGAAAAACCCTGACTGCGTTGGCAATTGGGGCTGGTCGTTGCCGACAGCCGGCTTTTGCTTGGGACTGCCACCTTTGAGCAGCTCATCCAACTTGGCCTTTGCTTCCTGCGCCAACACTGCAGGCGTCTTAAACTCAAGAATCGGCTCATCACTGCCTCTGGCAGCCTGTGCATCGGATGCTTTGGGAGTGGCAATATTGAAGTGGGGCACGCTAGTGGTAGCGGCCGGCTCGGCGTTCTGGACGGATGCTTTCGGAACGGAGGCATGCTGCGCTTTGGCAACATGCTTTAACTGCTCCTGAAGATCATCGATTTGGTCCTGAAGGCTAAGGTTCTGAGCCGCTGCCTCGTTGATCTTGTCGGCCATCTCCTTCTTGTAGTTCTCAAACTCAGTCCTCAAACTGATGAACCTGGCCTGATCAATTGCAGCCTGATCTTCATATTGCTTCTTTGTGGCAGCTATGGCATTCTTTGCATGTTCAACTGTCTGTGCATAGGAAGCTTCGAATTCACTAGTGATACGTTTTCTTTCCTCTGCAATTTTCTGATCATGCTTTGTGTTTGCCTCTGCCTTTACATCCTCTATTCTTTTGTCATGCGATGCCTGAGCCTGATTCAACCTGACCTCCATCTCGTCGCCTCGTTTCCTCTCCTCGTTGAGGGCACTAATGGCATTACCTTCAACCTCCTGCAGCCTTTGCTCATACTCCTGCTCCTGCATTACGAGTCTACTTGACCATTCGTTTCGAATTGAGTCAACTACTCCATGCATTATCTGAAGGTGCCTCTGTTCAGCTTCCCTCATGACTTGCAGGGTATTCCCACTAGTAATCTGGGACAGGTTGTTTTGTATGAAGGTAAAGTACGCAACAACGGGTTGGAACATTGTTTCGTCATCCATCGGCTCGGGGTTGCCCCCGGCCATATTAGGCACAGCGACAGCCGATGGACCTGACCCTGGAACGGCGAGAGGATGGTCAATTGGGGTCCCCATAGCAAAGTAGTGAGACTGCGGCTGATAACCTGTATTTTACCAGGTCAACCGACAATGGGGTAAAATGCACTACAAACCGCTAAGCTCTCAGCTCTTTTTGAACCAACGCTATCGGGTAGATCGATGATATATACAATACATGGTTTTACTGCAGGAGTTTTTACAGTATATATACTTATATATAACAATATAATATAATATAATATAATATAATAATATATTATATATATATACCATTATATTTATATACCCAGTAATTTCATGTGATTTCTGACATTATTTGGGGATGGGGATGTCTGGGCACGGCAAGGCGCCTTTTTTTCGGCGCTCGCTCAGGACACGTTTTTTCGCCTACCGCGCTTTGGGTGCCATTGCTCTGGCGCTGCCTGTGGCATCCCAAGACCAGGTTTCTGCGGGGTTTCACCAGGGCCATCCTTGATGAGACACAAAAGGGGCCGCCTGGAGGGGAAAATATCTGGTTTTCTAGAACTACCCGGCCTGGTAAACGTTTACATAACTATGGAAAGATCCACCATTTTCAATGGGAAAATCCACTATAAATGGTCATTTTCAATAGCTATGTTAAATTACCAGAGGGTATAGGGTCGGAGTACTGCAATATTTTCATTTCAATGTTGGATGGGGAATGATGATATCATGACAACATATGACAACATGATTTTCTCAAGGTTGATGTTCTTCCCAACCAGCTCATGGCCATGCCCTATGGCTTTGCGCCAGGTGGTGCAGGAACTCCTTAAGCCGTTGTCGGACAAGAAGGCACCAGACCGTGCACGCTTGGGTGCTCTGACCTGTTTGGCATTGCTGGCAGAGCAGCGAGAAGGCGCGGGAAACCGTGAAGTCGTCAAGGGAAGAGCTCAGTATTTGAAGTTCTGGGAAGCTGCAATTATCAGGACTTATTAACTAATTATTAACTCATTACCATCATTATCCTTCATTATCCTTCATTATCCTTCATTATCCTTCATTATCCTTCATGATCCATCATTGTCACTATGGAATATGCTTGAGTATCCATAGATATTCCCATAGATTCCCATAAGTTCCCTAATCGATTCCCTAATCGATTCGTTGAGATGCCTGGAGGTTCTCCCTGCAGCTGGGCTGGGGGCTTCGTTGACAAGGCTCCGGAAAATGTCATTTTTTTGGTGATTTCCTGTATATGATGTATATGCTCATGATAATGTCTTGTATAGTTTAGTATATTTTTATGTATATTTCACATGAAGTGTTCAATCTTTTGAGAGCCAATCCTGCCGAACGTTCAAGCATGTGGCCAGAATTCATGGGACGTAGAAAGACCAATTTGCACCAGTTGGCAGCACCAATGACGGATAACTAATAGTTGAATTTAGTTTATGCTTGCTAATGTCCAACCATCCTTAGGTCCTTGGGATGATGATCCCCAATGCCTTTCCTATCTTTCAATGGGTGGCTCACCACCGACGAAGCAGTAGCATGTGGTAGCATCCATGCCTTTCATGCAGGTGTTGCCCTTGTTGACGCTGGCAGCAACGAAGCCGGTGCAGAGGCTGCAGAGCTTGCTGGGCTTTGCAGTGTGTGGCTCCTTGTCAAAGGCAGACGGAGAAGCCTTGGGCGCCAAAATGAAGAAGGAACAGCTGACCTTGCTGAAGGACATCACCACTTCAAAACAGTCTCAACATGTCTCAACCAGAGATTGAGCAATATGGAAAGCAGCCAGCCCATTGAGGCCCCTGTTTGCTCCTAATTAATCCTAATTATATATGTCCTAAGTGCCCTATTGAGCATTTCATGTTCTTCAAAGACTTTCTGGTTGCTGTCCATGTTTCTTTGGGATGGTCTGCGCGTGTATGGGTCATCCCAGGTTGGTTTTAACAAATTTGCAGGAGAGCACGTCGTTTCTCAATGCAGTGCCGATCATCCAAAAAGCACCCCATGCCGAGCTTGCTGCACAGGTGCGATTGTTGATGGATGTTGATGGTTTTCCCAGGTGTCTTCAAGTGCTTGTTGCCGCCACCAGGAAATCTCGCCAAGCCTAAGCACACCGAATGTTCGAACTGATCACATGCTGAACTGAGGAGCCTTCCCAAACTAATACAATCTAATCTACTCTAATCTACCCCAATCTACTCGGCTCTACTCTACCCAAATCTATATAACCTAACTGGACCAAATCTAATCCACTCCACTATACTCTATTCTATCTACTTGGCTATCTATCTATTTGTCTGTCTGCCTACCTACCCATCTACCTCATATCTATTTATCTACCTGTCTACCTACCTGTCTACCTATCTACCTATCTACCTATCTACCTATCTACCTCTATATCTACCTATGTCCTATCCATCTATCTGTCTATTTGTCTATCTGTATGTCTGTCAAATCTCATCTCATCTCATCTATAGTATCTATCCGTATCCATAATGTGGATGTGTGTTTGTGCATGTTTCTGCACAGACGTTTGTGCCAGGCACAGTTCTGGCGCGCTGTTCTGGCAGGGCAAGTGCCAGGAAGTCCTTCTCTCCAGGAAGCGGGGCGGATGCAGTGGCTTTCCCTCCCACCGAGCCCGTCGGGCTCCAAGTTGCATCGGAAGTTGTGCCCATTAGAAATTCTCATATATATATATATTATATATATTAGTATATATATATATATATGTATATATATATTATATTATATTATATATCATATTATATGTAATATTATATGTAATATTATTTATATATGTGTATGTATATGTATGGACACACACAGACACACACACACATATATATATATATACATGTATACATATATATGTGTGTGTAGTAGTAGTCGTAGTCGTAGTCGTGGTCGTAGTCTTAATTGTAGTCGTAGTCATAGTAGTAGTCGTCGTCGTCGTCATAGTCGTAGTATAGGATGATCCCCGGCAATATGGGGATACAATAATATGATACAGTGGTGGTATAATAATGGGATAGAATCAACAATAATGCATATCAAGGTATATCTAATGATATCTAATGTATTTCAACATATTTCAGCTCTCTGAATTTCTGCACGGCAAGGTTTGTAGAGTGCATGCCGGTGGTCCGCAGCACCATCATCTTGTTGGCAAGTTTCTAGGCTGCAGGCGCTTATCTGAAGTCTTGTACCCCGCGTTTGAGTATTTTTGATACAGCTTGAGGTCTTCACACTTCTTCCCCAGAGCGATCTGTCGGAGAGAAGGCGAGATTCAAGCAGCCAAGCTTGCTTTCACTTTGGGGAGGTTTGAAAGAATTTATATGATTATAATATCATCATAATTGACTTCACAGTAATGCAAGTTTTACAAGTATTCAATCAGCTACATCCTGCTTTCGGGGAGACAAAGCCGAGGAGACAAAGCCGACCAAGTGCATGCGATTGACGGAGATCCTCAAAGATGCTAAGGCACTGGATGTGTTTGTCACTGGCTGACCTTTGGAGTGCGTTCAAGCGTGCAGCAAAATCCAATGTGTCCAGGAAGAAAATGCAAATACGTTGTTGCTCCTGCTCTCTCAGGCTGGCCTCGAAAATTGTGCATTGTGTTGTTTGAATCTTTTTGTCAAATTCCAAACTGTGCGTGGCCTCAAAGGCCCTGCTTGCGTGGCTTGCGGAGCAATCATCGCTGCCTCCACGTCAGCGGCAGGCCTGCAGGACTTCAGCTAACGTGGGGTTGAAAGGGGCTGGTGGGAAACCAAGACAGAATGGGAAAGAGAAAGCAAGCAACAATTCACCGTAAATCCAGCACAGCTACATTGTGCACTGACATGCAAGAGCCCAAACTAATTACCCTCTGGTAAACTAACATAGCTATGGAAAATCACCATTTTCAATGGGAAAATCCACTATTAATGGCCATTTTCAATAGCTACGTTAGTCATTACCAGAGGGTATGGGAGATCACATTTCGTGTTTTGGATGTGTGAGCCCAGCACCAACACGTTGGTGATTGCAGCCACATATGCAGCAGCTCCTGAAGGCGGAACACAGGAACCATCGGTGAGTTTGCTCCCATCCTCGGAAGAATTTCGCGTGATAAATGGAGAGAGAGAGAGAGTAGTAAAGCCAATATTACCAATATTACCATGTGATGACCATCCACGAATGGTATATAGGTTTATGTCATTGGGTTTACCACATTCAAAACCATCAGAAGAAATCAGAAGAAGTTCTTTGGAGCATGCAGGTGAGTGGTGCAGCTCTGCGTGAGACACTGGTAGAGCTTTGCAAAGCTGCAGCTGCAGTTCAAGGCTTGTTGATGCCAGAGGTGGTGTGCTTGCTCCTTGGCAGCCTTTTATCCGATTCATCATCCATATAAGGGTCGAGTCAAGCATTAGATTTGTGCTCAATCATCCCTGCAGGTGAATATTGGGCTAGATACCAGTAGAAGGTTCTGTGTCCTCTTAGGTGATTCTGGATGAGTTTGACTTGCAACGCCTCAGCAAGTCCATGATTTTGCCTTTCTCAATGTTCTAAGGCTGTCTTTGGCCGCCCACCACCCATTGCTGGCTTCTCGTCGTTGGCCAACAATGCGGCACTGGCGTTCGCTTCAGGACAAGCATTTGGGCCAATGCTTCGGCAAAGCGTCTCGCCCAGAACCGCACGGATCTTCTGCGATCTTCTGTGTCTCTATATGGAGGTGTCCTAAAATAGTGAATAGTGGTTCCCAGTCATCCGTATCTCGGTAGGATTGTCCATAAGCCATCCAGTTGGAGTAGCCCCATAGAAGTGATCCATGCACTTCAGGCAGGCCCAGGACTCTGGGCATCGCTTCGGCAACTGATCTTCGCTGGCAGAGCCTTTGGATTCGTTGGATGGAACTCCATAGTGGGGGTAGCCCAATAGCTGGATGGGTTATGGAAAATCCTATATATATTACCCTCTGGTAATGACTAACGAAGCTATTGAAAATGACCATTTATAGTGGATTTACCCATTAAAAATGGTGATTTTCTATAGCTACGTTAGTTTACCAGAGGGTATCTATTAAAACGGATGATGACTGGGGGTATCCCCATGACTTAGGAAACCACCAGATAGAGATCATAGGCGAGAGAGTCTAGCTGGAGGAAGGACTAATCGAAGGACATCAAAGTGAGCAAGTGCCTGCAAGAGGCGTGCCAGCTGCAAGGACATTGGAGAAATGAGGATCAAAGGCCCAAGGATATCAAAGATTCCGGATGTTTTTTCCAAACTTGTCACCATGTCAATGTTGAGTCCCTGTCCCCGTTCAAGGACAGCTTCCCGGCACTGATGGCAGCGGCTGTCGTCAAGCTGCCATCTCTGCAGCACAGGCGTTTGATGATTCCGAGTCTGCGGAGGAAGTGACGGGGTTGCTGCAGGAAACCTGGCCCTGGATGGCCTCTGAAATCATTCGGTACCCAGGCGGTTTTCCATGGAATGTACGGTCATTTATGTAGTTGACTTCTTTTGGGATTGCTGGTGCAAAGTATGAACAAGGTACTTGTATCCCCGTTGAGATGTACTTGTATATTGTCTACAATTGTACTTACTAATGCGAGAGGGATGGAAATACTCCAGTGCACTGAATTCACGATTCATAACCGTGCAAAGTAGAAGTTGTTTGGACATGGGCGATCTGAAAGTTGTGGCTGAGGATTGCTTGAACGTACTGCCTGCTGATCAGGCACGGGGTATGGCTGCTTCAATTAGCTTCAAGCTACACTTGCATTGATCCAGGTCGTCGCAGAAAAGGTCGAGGACGTCAAGGTGTTCTTCGCACCAGAAGGAGTGCTCTGGATCGAAGAGGGCGTCTATGTGGCAGAAGAACGCAACAACAAGAATGTTTCGAAGAACAAGTACCTGCAGGCCGCAGAGAAGTCATGGCGATATATCGCACATGATTGCACCATCCAATATCATGTTCGGCCTTTGTTATTGAGGACATGGATGATGAGGAACCCAGTGCAGCTCCGGCTTCGCGCATCAAGTTTGCGCCGTTGCCTCGTGACAAGGAGCCGGGATGTTCAGCTTTTATATGTTGTCAAGCATGGCAAGTGGCAAGTGTGTTTTGCGCCTTGCGTTTTTCCTGGTTCTTAGCCAGGAGAAGGAAAAGACAAAAGATAGCAAACCAAAGGCAGGAGTTCTTCGCTGTTTCGGCAGCAGGTCATCAAAGTTCATCAAAGTTCGCGAAGCGCAGTTCTCAGATGTTCTCAGGAAGTAAAGGACAAAGCAAAAGGCAAAGGTAAGGCTGCAGCAGGAGCTGAGAAGGGAGCTACTTGACATTGCCCAAATCATCAAGGAATGCAGATAAATTTGAGCATTCACACTTTGCAGCGTTGGTTCTTTCCACATCATGGTCACAGTCTCAAGATTTCTCGAGCAAGTTGCTGAGATTTGCATGATGTGTATTGATTTGTGGTTTGTGGCTCTGTGCTCCTGAAGGGAGACTCTTCTCGGATGTAAGGCTATGACCCAGAGTCAGATTGAAGAAGCCAAGATTCAGGAGCAGTCCGACACGCGGGCACGCATCCGATGCTTCTTAGCGGTTGGATTTAGCTGACTTTGCCATGATGCATCGCGTCCTCAAAGCCATTGTGGCAGGCTGCACTCCGAATAGGCAGTTGTTCCATGTGTAGTTCCCACAAGATGCCAAGATGTTACAACTGTCTGTGAATGTGATGTCTAGAATAAGGATTTATCGGATAAGTGATAAGTCATGAAAAGTCAAATGTGCAGAAAATGCATATCGAAATATATCGAGTTCGGCCTTGTTTTGGCATTGATTCACTTGTGAAGCACTTAGGTTATGTCGACGAAGCCAATTTTGCCATGGATGTGAACCTTGGAATATGAGGGACCACAGACAAGCCTTGGCCATCTTGGTGGGCTTGCTGTTTCAACGCCATAAAAGGTCTATGTCTATAGCTATGTCTATAGCTATACCTATATAATAAGACCCCTCCAAAAAAAAACATGGAAACGTTTAATTTATCGCTGTTTAAGCCAGGTATATGATCACCTAATGGCATTACCAAATCCAAACATCCGTTGCAAAGAAGCACTGCCAAGGATTGCTTCCTTGGCAAAGAATCAATGCAACAAAGAGGCTGGGTGCCGGGAGGCCACTGCCATCCACTGCCATCCACTGCCATCCACTGCCACAGCAACCTTCAAGGGCACCTCAAAGTGGCATGGTTTATCCATGCATCATCAATTTTCATCAATGTTTCATATGTTTTTCCATATTTTCCCTATTGAACTTGACATAACTTGATACATTTTGGAGGTATCCATCGGTATCCATCGGTATCCCGGCATTTTCAGACACGACCAACCTCCAGAGTTCAGGCTATCGATGAGGCCATGTGCGAGATGGTGCCATCTTTCCTGAAGCTACTGCAGTCACCTTTGACCGTGCTGTCTCTTGGCCAACTGGATCACCACGGCTGCTATTGCCTATGAAATCCCATTAGTGTTTTTGGATGTTTTTGGCGTTTTCCTGGAAATGTAGGCAGACAATCAAACATTAGTCACCAAGTCAGCCCAGAAAGATTCATGGGCACACCCACACCATACCCAAATGATCCAAAAATCACTGAGGAAGGCAAGGCAATGTCTTCGAAGCTTGGTTCAGCTGGTGGTACCGCCCACTGTGATGGATAGGCAGGTGTGGTGAATTGAATCCTGACCAGGACCAGAATACTGGCGCAGTCTAGTAAAGGGCTTTTCTTATCCAAGTGCAGAGTTGGCATATGTGCCATGGGTTGCTGTGGTCAAAACCTGGGTAGATTGCCATATTGGGGGATGGTCATCAATCCATCAATATGGATTTATGCAGTTATACACCAATAATAAGGATTCCTTTTATAGGATGGATGACCATAAACCAAATACAATCCATATGCAATCTTTTGACCATGGCACGTGTATTCCAGTGCAATTGCAGGCGCGATCTGCTGGCTGATGCTTTGATGATCATCGGCAAACGATGGCTGAATCGGAGCCCTGCTGCTGCTGGTACTCCTGGAGATGTACGGGTGTGCGAGGCCCGATGTGGGTCGTGACCTTGTCATGTTGTCATGGCGGTTGATGGCCTTCCGCCACCCCCTGGCAGGTGGTTCTCTCTGATATTGATGGGCACCAGCAACTTACTGGATCCACGTTGGCGCTGGTTGCGGAGCTCAGCAACTTGTGGAGGGGAACGTCAAAAAAGATCCAAAAAAGGAGAGCTAAATTCAGTTCTTCAGTACTCCAATTTTCAACAGTAAGAGGTTTTGAATTTCATTGGTGGTTACCTGGTTGGGCAGTTGTCTCAAGATCCACTTGCAAATTTCGGAGCTCGAGTCCTGCCATATTACACACGATGCGCTGAGCGCCCAAGACTGTAAGCACCACCCTGGGAAAGGTCACTCATCATATTTCATTCATATCTCATCATGACTCACTCATTGATTCTGCAGTTTTGCAGTATCTAGCTGTCATCTAATCCGAGCCAGGTCCTTCCCCTTATCATCCGGGCCCTCTTTGACAGTAGCTCGCAGTTGCAGGACCATTCCCCTATTGTCTTGGCCCGTGTTGCCATTCAGCCCTTTTATCATGTTTTGCATTTGCTTTGTTCTTGCAGACAGCTGTATGGGATGCAAATGTGAACAGATGTGAACAGGGTACCTTCGGCAGACTAGAAGCCTTCACTTGAAAGGACAAGAATACGAGTCAACTATACTTTGCATACAACTTGGGTGTGTAAATTGTTTGCAAGTCAGAGATGTTCATGGATGCATGGATGCATTTATGTTCCTGCAGGACCTTTGCACAAAGGCACTCCAACTCTTGGAAAAACAGCTATCACTGGGCATCAAGGCACGCTGTTGATCAAGCATTATCAAACTGTCTCTCCCCAATGGGTATCATTATGTATTCATTATGTTTATGTATGAGATTACTATTTTGTATTCATTTTGTACTATATGTATATATAGCTACGTATATGTATACATATCATGCATATGTGTATATATATATAATTATATAAATATTACAAGAGAGAGATACCGAGGTACCCGAGGAAACGGCCATGGAGATCTTCGATTCCTTGAGTATCGTTCTATTGGCCTTGCCGGGAATGGCCAACCAAGCCCAGGCGAGGTTCTGGCAACCGACATCTTTATGGCTGAGACAATCTGGTTCTCCAGAAAAAGTCCGAAAAATTTGGGTATCCCCCATTTTTGAACACTGTCAATGAAAAAAAAAGTTTTGGAGCAGCAATAAGCAGCGCGCAAGGCCGCAATGGTTGCTGCCAGCAAGAACATGATTTCTTCTACTGATCAGCTGGTTCGCTTGGCAGATTTGTGCCTTGGGTAATACGCTGTTTGTTCTTCTGGCTTTTCCAACGCGAGTTTGAAGCTGATGCCGACAATTATATACCATATTAAACTTGACTTTCAAACTTGCGAACGTGTGGGAAATGTCCCATCAAAATATGGCAAAACATAGCCCATACATAGCCCATAACCCATTTGGCTCCAAAATGGCAGCTTTTGCCTCAGGTTCTTTTCCAACGAAGATTTAATGCGAAGCTCAGTGATTTCCGCCCTAGCGGCGCTTCCGGAGAACATCAACTTGCAGGACGAAGCTACTGTCGTAGAGGGCAGTCTGAAGGATGCCTCAACATTGAACCCACCTGCTCTGCATGAAGGTATATCTATGTCTTGTATATTCTAGTATATCGCATTGTGTTATATAAATTTATAGTAATTATGTATATATAGCGTTATAATGTACATGTATATAGATGTATAGATGCATGTTATATCATTTTATATCACATTATTACATTGCATTACATTAAATCTGTGCCACATTATGTCACACACTATTTACATATGCACGCACACACACATATATATATATTATCATATATATATATATATATTATGTATATAATATGCGTGTGGTATATATTTATAATTATATATATACATATATATATACATATTAGATAGATAGATAGATAGATGGATATCTAGCACATAGTGAACTGTGCGCGCCGTCCCATACTTGTTTTGCCCGATCAATGCAAGAGAAGTTGCGTATTTTGCAGGTGCATTGCCTCCTGGCTCCTTGCGACGAATTGGTGCACAGAGTGTTGTTGATAGATCCAAGAGCCATCAGAGCAATCAGAACTAAGCCAGCCAGAATCCAAGATGGTTTTTAGTGTTGATTTCTTAATTTGCAATAAATGATGAAAAGAGATATTTAGAGGTGATTTTTAGACACGTCCAGATTCACATAACGGAGCCCCAGCCTCAACTGCAAAGATCAGCCAGTCATACCCAGTCCTTGCGCTGTCGGGTTCACGACTAGATATTTGTGTGAATATGTCTCTACTGCTCAGCGCAACGTCGCAATTAGGCACATATTTAATGACCATTAATGATCATTAATGACCATTAATGACCACTTTAACAGGTCAGATGCTTTTCACCTGCCCTTCACGTCACTTCACGTCGTACATTCCAAGGGAGTTGATATTTTGCCATGTCACTGCGGCGTGTTGCTGCCAAGTTTCGGCGGCTCAGCGATCAGCGATGAGTTTTTAGTGATTTGCTGGTGGCAGCGACATTTAGAACGGATCATTGATGTTTCTAGTATATATATATATATGTAGATGCATATTGATATTTAGATCTAGGATGATCTAGGTATGTTATATTTGTGTTTGTGTTTGTATCTCTCTCGGATATGTTTCATTGATATCTGTAGCGCGATTGTATGCTATTGCCATACCTAGAGGTGGCTCTGTGTGTACAATGTGCGGCTTGTGCTGGGACAAGGCTTTTGCCAATACACCGGCCACTGTCCACACAGGCGAAATTGGGTGGTGTTGCAATGATTTTTGCGCAAAGAGGGAAGAAGAATAGAAATATGTCTATTGTATATTATAAATGCGTGCATTTAGATAGATAACCTCTATGTCTATATATATATAACTTATATATATATAGAATATACCGTACATATCATGTACGAATATGGCAAAGGCAAAAAATGTACGAATATGCACGCATGAGATTTCATAAATGAATCAAATCTAGTTCAATGCTGGCGCAGGTGGCTACAACAAGCGCGGAGCAGCTCACATCTCCAAAAAGTCTCTCAGAGCTATCTGAACGTTCCTGGGCAAAAGGCGATGAATAGACATGGAAAGATTTGCCGCCATGCAATGGCATCCTTGAAGCATTCAAATGTTTAGGATTTACTTTGGGGATCAGCTGGAGAGGTCGTTGCTTTTGTGTACTATTCCAATCAGGGCTAAACTGGGCTACACGTGATTTCACCTCATCATTCTGCTGTTTGGCATTTGTCACGCTGTAGTAGGCATGCCATGGCGTGCCTCGTGGTTTGCCTCTGGTGAATGCTCACATTCCCAAGTTGGGGCTTCAACCAACAGGCTTTCCCCCAAATGGATGACAGAAATGGGATGAAATAGGCCTAAAGTGGCTTTTGGTCAACCCCCCATGGTTCAACCAACCCCCTAAAAAAAAGTGGCTTTTGGTCAACCCCCCATGGTTCAACCAACCCCCTAAAAAAAAGTGGCTTTTGGTCAACCCCCCATGGTTCAACCAACCCCCTAAAAAAAAGTGGCTTTTGGTCAACCCCCCATGGTTCAACCAACCCCCTTAAAAAAAGTGGCTTTTGGTCAACCCCCCATGGTTCAACCAACCCCCTAAAAAATAAGTGGCTTTTGGTCAACCCCCCATGGTTCAACCAACCCCCTAAAAAATAAGTGGCTTTTGGTCAATAAGCCATAACAAGCCAAAAACTACAAAACCGTTAGTAAACCCAAAAATCGGGGATTCACCGCTAGGTGCTGGCTTCGTTCCACGGCCGCCAGAGCCAGAGAAAGACCCAAAGCCAGGATTCCGAGGACGCGAAAAACCCTGCGGCACGGGGAAAAATGGATGTGACCAAGGAAAATGTAGAGGAAAGCCTCATATTTCATGGTAAAAACCATGGTAAAAACCATGATTTCTTGGAGATATGCCCTTAAACCAATCCAATGATAGCACTAACATGCACTAAGCATCACCAAGTGATAGCCATAAAGGGCCACTTCTTCAGTCAGTTTCCGATACCTTGATCATTTCCAACCCCCAAAAGAAAAGCGATTTTGGGCCATGGGTGCAATCCAAGCAATTAAGCAATAGCTTGCAACATGTATGCTTGGCACACCATGAAGTCACTCTAGGAATCTCTAGGATGTGACAGGCTGACGCAATTCTCAACCTGATATAACCTGATACTCGTGATGATGTTGTAATATAGAAATCTTCTGGTGGCATGGGTCATTCGGAAAATTCGGGCAAAGCTCCCTTCACCTCCCTTCACCTTATGTGGTTTGGATGGTCCCTGTCCCATTTGATTCAGAAAAGATAGGAACCGTGCTCCTGTTCCAGCGCCCCGGCTTCATGCCAGGCGGCAAGGCGCTGTTCATTTTTTTCCTGTGCAACGCCGTTCCGTTCTCTGCAATTATGTACTATCTCAGGCCATGATGGGTCATTGAGATGCTTAAAATGATATGCGTCGTTCGTTTTTTTCCCGATAATTAGTCAAAGAAATCATATAAGATATATGACATTTGTGTGCAACTCCAGTTGCAGACTCACTCGCTTCTCGCTTGCGACGCCTTTCTAAAATTCTTCAGTTTGTGTCACCTCTCTGCATCAGATGCATCAGATGCATCAGATGCATCAGGGAGCAGCGGGAGAAGCGCACAGAGATGGCCATGCTGATTTTGCCCAAGGCCCCTGAAGAAGTTGCTGCAGAAGTGCTGCGTGTTTCTCAGCGAACGGCTTCGTTAGTACCCCAATGACGACTGCCTGCCGTGAAAATAAACATCATCCATCAAGGACCGTAGGGTTTACCACCTTGCCAAGTTTCAACATCCGTATCGTGAGGGCCATGGGCATTTTTCTATATTTTTCCTAAACAAAAAAAGAGACAGGGAGGCACATCGTCACATCGACGTGCAGTTGCCATCAGTTGCCTACAGAGGCGACGAACACCAGACATGGAGCCTTGACAAAGCCTCTCAGGTTATTCGCACTGCTGCAGTGTGTTTCCTGCTCCAAGACTCTCAGGCTGAATTTTGCACTGGCCAGTTGCAATGCCAAGTCGTTGCAAATAGACGGCATGGAATTACATGAAATGATACGTGGCTTGAGGTCGCATTTTGCAACATTAATCCCCAAGTATTTCTCGGAAGAGGATGACACACCAAGAGTCACTGCATCCTTAGCGCAATGCTGCCTGATTTAGCACAAGAAGTAGTAGTCTGTTTGTGGAAGGCTTTCACATCCTTATCATCCTTTCAAGGTATGATTGAGAAAAAACAAGTATATTGAACTGTGAAACAGCTTAACAATGCTTAACATGAAAACATCATTTTGCACAGTGGCATGTTTGGCTAGAAAAAATGGTACTTCGAACCCGCCCATCATGGACCATCCAGGACACCCATCCTGGCCCATCCTCATCTCCTGGAGGCAGCAACTGGTGCGCTGCGCGTTGATCCTCATCCGCCAGAGGCAACAGCCTATGTGCCGCCCACGGGGCCGCTGCCAATCGTTCCACAGATGGAACGGAACTTCCTCACAGCTGGTGCCTCAGTTTGTTCCATTTAAATCATTTAAACATCCTGAAGCCTCAGGAGTCGCAGCTTTGGCATGTTTGGGTTAAAACATGTTCATACAAATTTCATACACTTTCATACGTTTTCCCGGTGCTTTGTCGCTGTGAGGATATGCTCGAGTCGCCAGCAGTGGTGGGACTGGGCTTCGTTCATTTTGCTTTGTCGCGGCAGTCTCAAGAGGCTCAAGCCATCATGGCGGGACGCAGGACCGATTCTGATTTGATGAATGTGGCATTTTGATGCAGTTTGTGGCACACTTTGGGAAAACAATGGAAAACATGATTTGCTGATATTTACATATAGTTACTGTATCAAACCACTTGCAATTGATCAGCACAGCAAGAAGAGTCACACATTTGAGAACACATTAAAGCGCAACTTGGCAACTTTACTCTGATCTCTGAATATCTCTGATGCCTCGCTGGCTCAAGCTACCCTCTCTATCCCTCTCTTTCTAACTGTTCAAAGTGCGCTTACATCAAACGTGATGAAGAACGTCATCATCCTGGCCTTTGCCGTTTTGTTTGCGGGGGTCCTGGCCGATCCAAAGGAGCCGGCATTGCAACAGGATGACGAATGTGCCAGTAGTGGCGAGGCTTGTGGCCTCAATGCCTTGCAGCTCCGAAGTGAGGACAGGGAGGAGCCTGACAGCAACTTCACCAACTTGGATCACATCGATCCTGACGATGAACAGCTGCTTTGTATATTAATTTGTCTTAATTCGTCTGCATTGTTTTCATGGATTGGTAGATCACTTCTTTTTTTCGGGGGCTGTTTGTGCGTTTGGTGGGTCCGACGGTCCAACCTACTTCATCCCATTTCAGGATTTGCTGCTGCGATAAATACTGAGGCTTGGTGCCCACTACGCAGATGGTTTCCTGGCAAATCTGTGCCATGGCACCAGCTACTGTGCTATTGCAGGCTACATGATTGTGGCTGGTCATGGCGATGCCAAGGGAATGGAGTCGATCCACAACAGCAGCTTGGAAAATTCCCAGAGTTCGATGATGTTCACCTAAAATCATGGTCATGTGACACCTGCATTGAGTTTGGGGATTTCGACGGCTTCCATGTTTGATTATTTTGATTAGTCCACCGGGTACCCCAAGGGGGACATGTGGATTCTCGTGGCTCATAGGCAACGTTGGCTACTATGACAGTATGTTGAGGGCTGCATACAACCGCTGCGCGAGTGGAAGCTGTGTGATCATTACGAATCCTGTGGGCCATCGTACCCAAAGCCGCTGGTCCAGAGTCATGGTCTTGATCTGAGTGGCAAGGGTCCTATGGTCCTCCATCATGTGGTGGTCAACCTTGGTAAGATACTTGCGATTACCTTAATCTTTTGCTATCCATGGTAAAATGATGTAAAATGTGCCAACGAGCTAAACATCGGATGTTTTTGGCAGGTATCTAAGATTCACCAGGGGTAAAGCCACGTCAACCCAATGCCACAAACCTCCAATTCTGATCAATTTTGGAAGGTTTACACCACCCATTTCGGATCTGCGTCCCAGGCCGATTTCATATCCACTACCGGCGCTACAACGGTGGCGGTGCTTCCCTGAAACACCGATTGGAGAAGCAAATTTGTGGAAGCCACGGTTGGCAAAATTTTGCGGAGTGTGGCACTGGCAAGGCTGGAGATAGATCTGCGTGGTTGGCATAGCTGAGATCTTGAGGTTCTTTTGTGCATTTTTGTGGAACCCATTGGAAATGCGAGACCTTTTCTTTGGCCCATACCTATGCCTGCCAAGACTTTTTTAAGTGCGCATTGATCATTGAAGTGTGCCATTTGCCCTTGAGGAATAGTCCAAACGCCAGATCTGCAGACAGCATGACGCAAAAATGACAGTGAGTCACTTGATTTGTTTGGGACGGTTACAAATGAGAAGCAGTAGGTCAGTAGGTTAGCTCTCAATGGAGTATAGGAACCAGTTAAATGAAGTGTGTCAACTCCGTTGTCAAGATTGGGAGGGAGTTATGATCACAATGCATGATAGGAATCCTCATTACCGAATCATGATTTTTGTATATGGCAGTGTGTCAAAACCTTGTACCCCTGGTGAACATCAAAATAGCTGGTAAATGGATGTTCATCCCACTAAAAATTGTATTAGTAGGTATTGATCCATACCCATATTTGTGTGGTGCCCGATGATTTTCATTGTGTCAGGCCAAGTACTTCGGAGGCTACCCCTCTGTGTTCCGAGAGGTCTTGGGTCAATACGGTGGTCATTTGGCCAACGTCGGTGTCACCGTTTGGCCGGGCGCCTGTGGACATGGCGTGATTGTGCCTTGGTTCAGATTGGCTATGAATGGGTAGATGGCTTTGTCCAAAAGTGGTGTACAATCCAAAATGTCAATGTTAATGCGGAAAAATCATGATTAACATGATGAACCACAGATAATCACAGGAAAATTTGGCCATTTAAGATTTGAAACCGGAAAATATGATGAAATTGTCATAGATTTTTGGCAATGGTGATTCACTATTGGATCTTGGGGGTATCTAATTTGGAGACCATCGTGCATGGCACAGGTGCTTGCAACAACACACTGCAGCATTGAGCACAGCATCAGTGCTCGCTAAGCGTTTCTTGACGGCATTGCTGGATTGGCTAGTGACTAGTGGGAATGAACTGACAATGAATAGGCTGACTCCAGCTGAAGATTTTGATTTTGAAAAGGTCATCGAGAAGGCTAGTTTCGGCAAGTTTCTTCAACTCAGTTGAAACCATGGCTACCATGAGCACCAAGAGCTCATAGTTTCAAAGGTGAAGTAATGGGTAAAGTTTGAGGGGATGGGATGTCATCAATTGCTGATGGGCGTCCTTGTGTGATCATCGATATCATCGCTTCACTTCATTCGCCTCTTAGGCGTGAGCCTTTTGAATGACTGCCAGAGCCGCCTGTGCACTCGCCTTTTGAGCTGTGAGATGACTATCAGACCGCCAAATCGTGCGGGGAGAAAAGACAGCAGCAACAGCCAGCCGCTGTTTCTGCTTTTGATATTATCCGACCAAGATTTCTGAAATCCCCTCCCATGTCTTTGTCTTTGTGTGCCGACGACTCGACTTCGACCGTGTCTGAATGAAAAGTTTGATATCTCAGTCCCTTCGCTACAGGAAAGCAGCCCTTCTCTACGTATCGCACACGCGGGCGGCCTATTGCACTATCACAGGGCAGTGTCGAGCTGAGCATGAAAGTGCTTCACCATGGTTGGCCAATGGGTATCTCAAATCAATTTATTCAGAAAACTTAGACTTAGACACATTGAAATAAACGTCATTCACAAAAGGAACATTGGTGCCAAATTGAGCACCACGCTTGCGCAGAATGTTCACAAGGCTGAGCATTCTGTCTGATCCTGATTGCAGGAGAAGAGCCTAGCCAGCAAGCAGCTGTTTGTACGATTTAGCTAATTCATTTCCAAGTGCATGCTTTTGGGAGCTCCTTCATGAGGAAATTCGGTCATGGCCCGCCTGAAACGTGTTCCTCCAGAATGTGTAGGTGTAAGCATTATAAAGGAATCGTACAGGCAATGGTAATCACGAAACCTGTGTGGAGGGCGAGACCAGTGTTCTCCTGAATGAGGGAAAATGTTGAAGTTAACCACCATCGCTTTTTCTGTTGCAAGTTGTTTGAGCTGCATCTTGTAGAGCAAACTTTGTTCGAAAACAACCCAAGGATATTGGAAGCCCTCTTGGTCTTGGTGCTTCTTGGCTCCTGCAGATCCTCAAGAAGAGGCTCGCATGGCATGCGCATGGCATGCGCACAACACGTCAGTATAACAGCGAGAAGCTGAGAGAACTGCCCCGAGGAGCCACGAGAGCAATGGCAAAGTGAAGATTACGTCCTTGTGCGCTTTGCCATTGACCAGGCCTTGGGAGCCATTTTTACGCTCTGTGTTTCTGTTCATAGGATATTGGCTCACATTTATATTATTACAGTATGCATTTATATGGCATTTATAACCGTTTATAATCATTTCTAATCATTTATATACTGTAGGATTTGGGATCTTCACATTTTCACATGGAACAGTTAGTCTACGGATGTCTACGGGAGGTTGTTGATGGCATGATGATGCATGATAATCATGATACGTATGAACCAATTGAACCAATTATGAATTATGTCCATTAGACACTCCAAGTTGGATCAGTTTGGCTGATGCAAGTGTGATGCGAAATCCAGGCATCTTTGCAATCCGTCGTGGACACGGCCTTGCGCTGGGACGCCCGACATGTCAAGCGCGTCCCGAGCAGTGAAGGAGCAAGATGGGAAGACGTTACTTGGCTGGTCTTCCCGCAATGCACGCAAACACAGCAATTTGATGTTGCTGCAAGTCACTAGCCAGGCAGCCAGCATTTTTCCATATTTTTCCATGACATTTTCCATATTTTTCCACCTGTGTTGGTAAGCGACCTTCAAAGAGAGCCAGCACTTGCTCCGCGGTTCGGCGCTTCGCTCATGCCATCTGAGGCCATGCAAGTCTGAAGTGTCGAGCAGAAGCGAAAATCTGCTGGCAGAGAGTGATGCTTTGTGTTGCAAATGGGCTATGAGAATCCCATAGAAAGCCCATAGAAATCCCACAGAAATCCCATAGAACCCCATAGAATCGCATAGAAATCTCATAGAAATCCCATAGAAATCCCATAGAAATCCCATAGACATCCCATAGAATCGCATAGAAATCGCATAGGATCGCATAGAAATCCCATAGAAACCCCATAGAAATCCCATAGAAAGCCAATAGAACCCCCACAGAAACCCCATAGAAATCCCATAGAAAGCCAATAGAAATCCCACAGAAATCCCATAGAAACCCCATAGAAATCCCATAGAAAGCCAATAGAAATCCCACAGAAATCCCATAGAAATCCCATAGAAATCCTTTAGAATTCCCATAGAAATCCCATAGAAATCCCATAGGATCCCATAGAAATCCCACAGAAATCCCATAGAAATCCTTTAGAATTCCCATAGAAATCCCATAGAAATCCCATAGGATCCCATAGAAATCCCATGGAAATCCCATAGAAATCCCATAGAAATCCCATAGGATCGCATAGAAATCCCATAGAATCCCATAGAACCCCATAGAATCCCATAGAAGTCCCATAGAACTCCCATAGAATCCCATAGAAATCCCATAGGATCGCATAGAAATCCGATAGAAATCCCATAGAAATCCCATAGAATCCCATAGAATCCCATAGAATCGCATAGAAATCCTATAGAATCCATAGAATCGCATAGAATTCCCATAGAATCCCCAATATATTGGGTAGACATGGGCCATGGGTAGAATACAGAATACCCCCAAAAAGAATCATCAACTGGGGTTTTGAACAGTGCTCAAATGTTTGCGTGGCATGCCATGGCATGCCATAGCATGCCATGGCATACCATGTTGAAGAATGTCATAACGAGCCCCGTCCGAACCCGAAGTCGAACCTCCCCGACCCCCCCCTCAAAAAAAAAAGGTTTGCTGGGATGATGCACCGGGCTTTGTACAGACATTGCTCGGAACGACCACCGAACCCGAAGCCGAACCCGAAGTCGAACTTCCCCAACCCCCCATCGACAAAAAAACGGTCTGCTGCGATGATGCACCGGCCTTTGTCCGAAAATTGCTCGCAATGCCCAGCGAACCCGAAGCCGAACCCGAAGTCGAACCTCCCCAACCCCCCCTCGACAAAAAAAACAGTTTGATGGGATGATGCACCAGGATTTGTGCAGATATTGCTCGCAATGACCACCGAACCCGAAGCAGAACCCGAAGTCGAACCTCCCCCACCCCCCCTCGAAAAAAAAACGGTTTGCTGGGTTTTGCACGGAAATTGTTCGCAATGCCTAACGAACCCGAAGCCGAACCCGAAGTCGAACCTCCCCAACCCCCACCCTCCACAAAAAAACCCGCTTGATAAGATGATGCACGAGGCTTTATGCAGGAATTCCTTGCAATGCCTACCGACCCCGCAGCCGAATCCGAAGTCGAACCTCCCCGGCCCCTTCCTCCACCTAACAAAAAATGATGGGATGATGCAGGATCGAGGCTTTGTGCAGACCCCCGATATCCCCAGTCCGGCTATGACAACGCCACAAAGGTGGATGATATGGCCAACCGACGATGCCCCTGATGACTGTTGTCATAGCTTTTTCCCCTTGGACTGGCCCATAGAAGACCAAACCCCTCTGGCAACTTGGCCTGTGGTTTCGGACGGTCATGGTGCGCCAATGTGAGACGGTGTCGGATACACCCCTTGCGGCGGCAATGCTGGGCCGCTGTTCCACTGCTCTCTGGCCATGCGTGCACAAAACTATTGCAATTAACTGACCTGTCAAGACCCCTGCTGTGACAACGCCACACCTCCTATATCCCCAGTCCGTGCTGTGACAACGCCACAAAGGTGGATGATAAGGCCCACCCACGATGCCCCTGATGACTGTTGTCATAGCTTTTTCCCCTTGGACTGGCCCATAGAAGACCAACCCCCTCTGGCAACCTGGCGCTGCTGGCATGTGGCTTCGGGCGGTCATGGTGCGCCATTAATGTGAGACGGTGTCGGATACACCCCTCGCAGCGGCAATCCTGGGCCATCGTTCCACTGCTCTCTGGCCATGTGTGCGCCAAAATTGTTGCCATTAACTGACCTGTCATTGCTACCTGCTTTGCTTCCGTGCCGTGACAACGCCACACAGGTGGATGATAAGGCCCACCCACGATGCCCCTGATGACTGTTGTCATAGCTTTTTCCCCTTGGACTGGCCCATAGAAGACCAACCCCCTCTGGCAACCTGGCGCTGCTGGCATGTGGCTTCGGGCGGTCATGGTGCGCCATTAATGTGAGACGGTGTCGGATACACCCCTCGCAGCGGCAATCCTGGGCCATCGTTCCACTGCTCTCTGGCCATGCGTGCACAAAACTACTGCATGCAATTAACTGACCTGTCATTACTGCCTTCTTTGCTTCCGTGCTGTGACAACGCCACAATGGTGGATGCTAAGGCCCACCTACTATATCCCCAGTATATGTAGGGCGCCCCTCTATCAGACTTTGCCTGCTTTGCGTCCGTGCTATGACAACGCCACAAAGGTGGATGATAAGGCCCACCTACAATATCCCTCATCAATATCCTGATATTCATATAAGCCTCTGTTGAATATAGCTGCGGCCTTCTCTTTCACGAAGCGACAAACACCCGACCTGCCGCAACTGCCTGCTTTGCTCCTGCTCATGAGAAGACCCGCGCGAACAAGAACGAACATTGCAGAGGTGCACGCTAGGGCATCTCCGGCGAACATACAGGAACAGGAGGCGAAGGAGGAGGAGGAGCAGTAGAGGGCGGCTAAAAAAGCGGCGCCCTGCCCCCGCAAAGCTTTCCATTGCAGCGACAACAGCAGCATCAACGCAACAACCAGAAAACAGGAAGAAGAAGACGAAAAAGAAGCAGAAGAAGACGACGAAGAAGAACAAGAAGACAAAGACGTCACCAGCGAACAGACATGAGGAGGAGGAGGACGAGGAGGAGGGGAAGGAGGAGGAGGAGGAGGAGAGGGGCGGCTAAAAAAGCTAAGGCCCATCCACGATGCCCCTGATGACTGCTGTCATAGCTTTTTCCCCTTGGACTGGCCCATAGAAGACCAACCCGCAACCTGGCCCTGCTGGCATGTGGTTTCGGGCGGTCCTGGTGCGCCAATGTGAGACGGTGTCGGATACACCCCTTGCGGCGGCAATGCTGGGCCGCTGTTCCACTGCTCTCTGGCCATGCGTGCACAAAACTACTGCAATCAACTGACCTGTCATTACTGCCTGCTTTGCTTCCGTGCTGTGACACAACGCCACAATGGTGGATGCTAAGGCCCACCTACTATATCCCCAGTATATGTAGGGCGCCCCTCCATCAGACTTTGCCTGCTTTGCGTCCGTGCTATGACAACGCCACAAAGGTGGATGATAAGGCCCACCTACAATATCCCTCATCAATATCCTAATATTCATATCATATAATCCTCTGTTGAATATAGCTGCGACCTTCTCTTTCACAAAGCGACAAGCACCCGACCTGCCGCAACTGCCTGCTTTGCTCCTGCTCATGAGAAGACCCGCGCGAAGAAGAACGAACATAACCAGAAAACAGGAAGAAGAAGACGAAAAAGAAGCAGAAGAAGACGACGAAGAAGAACAAGAAGACAAAGACGTCACCAGCGAACAGACACGAGGAGGAGGAGGACGAGGAGGAGGGGAAGGAGGAGGAGGAGGAGAGGGGCGGCTAAAAAAGCTAAGGCCCATCCACGATGCCCCTGATGACTGTTGTCATAGCTTTTTCCCCTTGGACTGGCCCATAGAAGACCAACCCGCAACCTGGCCCTGCTGGCATGTGGTTTCGGGCGGTCCTGGTGCGCCAATGTGAGACGGTGTCGGATACACCCCTTGCGGCGGCAATGCTGGGCCGCTGTTCCACTGCTCTCTGGCCATGCGTGCACAAAACTACTGCAATCAACTGACCTGTCATTACTGCCTGCTTTGCTTCCGTGCTGTGACACAACGCCACAATGGTGGATGCTAAGGCCCACCTACTATATCCCCAGTATATGTAGGGCGCCCCTCCATCAGACTTTGCCTGCTTTGCGTCCGTGCTATGACAACGCCACAAAGGTGGATGATAAGGCCCACCTACAATATCCCTCATCAATATCCTAATATTCATATCATATAATCCTCTGTTGAATATAGCTGCGACCTTCTCTTTCACAAAGCGACAAGCACCCGACCTGCCGCAACTGCCTGCTTTGCTCCTGCTCATGAGAAGACCCGCGCGAAGAAGAACGAACATAACCAGAAAACAGGAAGAAGAAGACGAAAAAGAAGCAGAAGAAGACGACGAAGAAGAACAAGAAGACAAAGACGTCACCAGCGAACAGACATGAGGAGGAGGAGGACGAGGAGGAGGGGAAGGAGGAGGAGGAGGAGAGGGGCGGCTAAAAAAGCGGGTGGGGGGCGCGGGGGGAGGGCGCAGCGCCCCCCCGCAAGCGTTCCATTGCAGCAACGACAGCCAACACAACAACAAAAACAAGCCGGAAGAAAAAACGGAAAAACATGAAAACGACGAAGAATAGGACGAAGAAGGAGAAGAATAAAACGACGTCACTATAGTGAGCATACCTGCCATGACCTGCCACAACTGCCTGCTTTGCTTCCGTGCTGTGACAACGCCACAATGGTGGATGCTAAGGCCCACCTACTATATCCCCAGTATATGTAGGGCGCCCCTCTATCAGACTTTGCCTGCTTTGCTTCCGTGCTGTGACAACGCCACCAAACCCCTTCGCCACCTGAAGTCGAACCAATACACAGGGAAATCAAAGATGAGACTCTCATAGGGTAACTGCAAAGCACTTGTGCAAGAGCCATGTCTGCGTATTTATGGATCCAGGTCTCTTTTCTTACAATATTCCATTTTTGTAGATCCTCTACACAACTCTTGTGCAAGATCCATGTCTCGGATCCTCTACAAGATCCATTTCTCAGGAACCTACAGGATCCATGCCGAAGCCGAAGTCGAAGTCGATCGTTCCGCACCCCCTCTCCAATGTCACTCCCGAAGCCGAACCCGAACCCGAACCCGAACCATAACGAGCCCCGTCCGAACCCGAAGTCGAACTTCCCCGACCCCCCCCTCAAAAAAAAAAGGTTTGCTGGGATGATGCACCGGGCTTTGTACAGACATTGCTCGGAACGACCACCGAACCCGAAGTCGAACTTCCCCAACCCCCCATCGACAAAAAAACGGTCTGCTGCGATGATGCACCGGCCTTTGTCCGAAAATTGCTCGCAATGCCCAGCGAACCCGAAGCCGAACCCGAAGTCGAACCTCCCCAACCCCCCCTCGACAAAAAAAACAGTTTGATGGGATGATGCACCAGGATTTGTGATACACCCCTTGCGGCGGCAATGCTGGGCCGCTGTTCCACCGCTCTCTGGCCATGCGTGCACAAAACTATTGCAATTAACTGACCTGTCAAGACCCCTGCTGTGACAACGCCACACCTCCTATATCCCCAGTCCGTGCTGTGACAACGCCACAAAGGTGGATGATAAGGCCCACCCACGATGCCCCTGATGACTGTTGTCATAGCTTTTTCCCCTTGGACTGGCCCATAGAAGACCAACCCCCCTCTGGCAACCTGGCGCTGCTGGCATGTGGCTTCGGGCGGTCATGGTGCGCCAATGTGAGACGGTGTCGGATACACCCCTCGCAGCGGCAATCCTGGGCCACTGTTCCACTGCTCTCTCGCCATGTGTGCGCCAAAATTGTTGCCATTAACTGACCTGTCATTGCTACCTGCTTTGCTTCCGTGCCGTGACAACGCCACACAGGTGGATGATAAGGCCCACCCACGATGCCCCTGATGACTGTTGTCATAGCTTTTTCCCCTTGGACTGGCCCATAGAAGACCAACCCCCTCTGGCAACCTGGCGCTGCTGGCATGTGGCTTCGGGCGGTCATGGTGCGCCATTAATGTGAGACGGTGTCGGATACACCCCTCGCAGCGGCAATCCTGGGCCATCGTTCCACTGCTCTCTGGCCATGCGTGCACAAAACTACTGCAATCAACTGACCTGTCATTACTGCCTTCTTTGCTTCCGTGCTGTGACAACGCCACAATGGTGGATGCTAAGGCCCACCTACTATATCCCCAGTATATGTAGGGCGCCCCTCTATCAGACTTTGCCTGCTTTGCGTCCGTGCTATGACAACGCCACAAAGGTGAATGATAAGGCCCACCTACAATATCCCTCATCAATATCCTGATATTCATATAAGCCTCTGTTGAATATAGCTGCGGCCTTCTCTTTCACGAAGCGACAAACACCCGACCTGCCGCAACTGCCTGCTTTGCTCCTGCTCATGAGAAGACCCGCGCGAACAAGAACGAACATTGCAGAGGTGCACGCTAGGGCATCTCCGGCGAACATACAGGAACAGGAGGCGAAGGAGGAGGAGGAGGAGCAGTAGAGGGCGGCTAAAAAAGCGGCGCCCTGCCCCCGCAAAGCTTTCCATTGCAGCGACAACAGCAGCATCAACGCAACAACCAGAAAACAGGAAGAAGAAGACGAAAAAGAAGCAGAAGAAGACGACGAAGAAGAACAAGAAGACAAAGACGTCACCAGCGAACAGACATGAGGAGGAGGAGGACGAGGAGGAGGGGAAGGAGGAGGAGGAGGAGAGGGGCGGCTAAAAAAGCTAAGGCCCATCCACGATGCCCCTGATGACTGTTGTCATAGCTTTTTCCCCTTGGACTGGCCCATAGAAGACCAACCCGCAACCTGGCCCTGCTGGCATGTGGTTTCGGGCGGTCCTGGTGCGCCAATGTGAGACGGTGTCGGATACACCCCTTGCGGCGGCAATGCTGGGCCGCTGTTCCACTGCTCTCTGGCCATGCGTGCACAAAACTACTGCAATCAACTGACCTGTCATTACTGCCTGCTTTGCTTCCGTGCTGTGACAACGCCACAATGGTGGATGCTAAGGCCCACCTACTATATCCCCAGTATATGTAGGGCGCCCCTCTATCAGACTTTGCCTGCTTTGCTTCCGTGCTGTGACAACGCCACCAAACCCCTTCGCCACCCGAAGTCGAACCAATACACAGGGAAATCAAAGATGAGACTCTCATAGGGTAACTGCAAAGCACTTGTGCAAGAGCCATGTCTGCGTATTTATGGATCCAGGTCTCTTTTCTTACAATATTCCATTTTTTGTAGATCCTCTACACAACTCTTGTGCAAGATCCATGTCTCGGATCCTCTACAAGATCCATTTCTCAGGAACCTACAGGATCCATGCCGAAGCCGAAGTCGAAGTCGATCGTTCCGCACCCCCTCTCCAATGTCACTCCCGAAGCCGAACCCGAACCCGAAGTCGAAGTCGAACCAGTTAGGCAACGGGCGGGGTACTTACTGAAGAATGTAGTATCATCGGGATATACACATTTTACTTGATCAAGTGCTGGGCTGCAAGTATTCTTGGTGCAGGAGGGTGCCGTTGATGCCGACGCAGCTCGAGCGGTCTTGAGGCTAGGGGCATTGGATGCCTCAGCAGAGCCTTGACATAGGAAGCACAGTGAAATCGGGGTGGCGACCTCGCCAAATAGGGGGGGTGGAAGACTAGTTTCCAACCTAAAAATGGTTGCTGTTAGTTGGGATGGCAACTACCATAAAATCCCATTCTTTCATGATGATTAAATCAGCACTTTGGCTGGTTGAACTCCCCATTCATCCCCCTTTTTGGTAAGTTAAACCATGTTAAACCCTATCAATATTAGCAATAACTGTCAGACATCAACCTGATTCGAATTACTGTAGATTAATAATGATTATTCCATGTTTATGTTCCCATTCTGGTTATATCTCTTAATTCTGGTTATATCTCCTAATTATTCCTAATCAAAATAGAATAGTTCCATATAGTTCCCCCATCCTTTCCATATTTTCCATGGTCCCAGGAAGTGGCCAAGAAGGCCATTGAGGACTTGGAGCTCGATGTGGATGAGGTGCTCCTCATGGAGCTCATCGACTATGCTTCGAAGCGCGGCACCGTCCCTGCCGTGCAGGACTTGGTCGCCAAGGCCCTTGCCGAGGCCGGAGGGACCGGAGGGATGGGGGAATTCCACCCCAGGACTTCATGTATCAATATGTTCTGTGTAGTTTACAAGGTGTATATCCCTATGGATTTACATGTATTTTTTTGGATACATAATATAATATATATAATAATATAATATTATATATTAAGGGCTGCCGCCCCTGCCGCCGACCCCGGAACAAGCAACCGAGGTTGGCTGATCTTTTGGGCGTGTCCCACCATTTCGAATGGGCCATATTTCGTCTTTCAAACAACCTCACCTGCTTACTTAGTGTCATTTCTTATTTAGAAAACTGCCGCCCAAAACAGCCGTTGCTGCTGCTGCTGCTGCTAACAGAAGAGTAGCAAGAGCACCTCCCGGCACCAAAACAGCAAGGCACGGAAGGACGAACAGGCCACAGAATCGCACCGAAAAAGTGCCTAACGTCCCTTCTGAATTCCTAGAAAAAATGTCTTTTTCCCAAAATTTTCCGCTTTTTCAATCTTCCATCAGCTCACCTGCTGCTGCTGCTGCTGCTGTTGCTGCTGTTAACAGAAGAGTAGCAAGAGCACCTCCCGGCACCAAAACAGCAAGGCACGGAAGGACGAACAGGCCACAGAATCGCACCGAAAAACTGCCTAACGTCCCTTCTGAATTCCTAGAAAAAATGTCTTTTTCCCAACCTTTTCCGCTTTTTCAATCTCCCATCAGCTTACCTGCTGCTGCTGCTGCTGCTGCTGCTGGTGCTGCTGCTAACAGAAGAGTAGCAAGAGCACCTCCCGGCACCAAAACAGCAAGGCACGGAAGGACGAACAGGACCTAGAATCCACCGAAAAACTTTTTCCCAACCTTTTCGGCTTTTTCAATTTCCGCTTTTTCAATCTTCCATCAGCTCACCTGCTGCTGCTGCTGCTGCTAACAGAAGAGTAGCAAGAGCACCTCCCGGCACCAAAACAGGAAGGCACGGAAGGACGAACAGGCCACAGAATCGCACCGAAAAAGTACCTAACCTCTCTTCTGAATTCCTAGAAAAAAAATCTTTTTCCCAACCTTTTCCGCTTTTTCAATCCCATCAGCCCACCTGCTGCTGCTGCTGCTGCTGCTGCTAACAGAAGAGTAGCAAGAGCACCTCCCAGAACCAAAACAGCAAGGCACGGAAGACAAACAGGCCTTAGAATCGCACCGAAAAACTGCCTAACGTCCCTTCTGAATTTCTAGAAAAAATGTCTTTTTCCCAACCTTTTCCGCTTTTGAAATTTCCGCTTTTTCAATCTTCCATCAGCTCACCTGCTGCTGCTGGCTGCTTTTGCTGCTGCTGCTGCTGCTAGCAAGAGCACCTCCCGGCACCAAAACAGCAAGGCACGGAAGGACAAACAGGCCATAGAATCGCTCCGAAAAATTGCTTAACGTCCCGTCTGAATTCCTAGAAAATATGTCTTTTTCCCAACTTTTTCCGCTCTTTCAATCTTCCATCAGCCCACCTGCTGCTGCTCCTGCTGCTGCTGCTGCTGCTCGTAACAGAAGAGTAGCAAGAGCACCTCCCGGCACCAAAACAGCAAGGCACGGAAGGACGAACAGGCCACAGAATCGCACCGAAAAAGTGCCTAACGTCCCTTCTGAATTCCTAGAGAAAATGTCTTTTTCCCAACCTTTTCCACTTTTTCAAACTCCCATCAGCTCACCTGCTGCTGCTGCTGCTAACAGAAGAGTAGCAAGAGCACCTCCCGGCACCAAAACTGCAAGGCACGGAAGGACGAACAGGCCCTAGAATCGCACCGAAAAACTGCCTAACGTCCCTTCTGAATTCCTAGAGAAAAAATGTCTTTTTCCCAACCTTTTCCGTTTTTTCAATCTCCCATCAGCTCACCTGCTGCTGCTGCTGCTGCTGCTGTTAACAGAAGAGTAGCAAGAGCACCTCCCGGCACCAAAACAGCAAGGCACGGAAGGACAAACAGGCCCCAGAATCGCACCGAAAAACTGCCTAACATCCCTTCTGAATTTCTAGAAAAAATGTTTTTTTCCCAACCTTTTCCGCTTTTTCAATCTCCCATCAGCTGCAGCTGCTGCTGCTGCTGCTGCTGCTGTTGCTGCTGTTAACAGAAGAGTAGCAAGAGCACCTCCCGGCACCAAAACAGCAAGGCACGGAAGGACGAACAGGCTACAGAATCGCACCGAAAAAGTGCCTAACGTCCCTTCTGAATTCCTAGAGAAAATGTCTTTTTCCCAACCTTTTCCGCTTTTTCAATCTTCCATCAGCTCACCTGCTGCTGCTGTTGCTGCTGTTAACAGAAGAGTAGCAAGAGCACCTCCCGGCACCAAAACAGCAAGGCACGGAAGGACGAACAGGCCACAGAATCGCACCGAAAAAGTGCCTAACATCCCTTCTGAATTCCTAGAAAAAATGTCTTTTTCCCAACCTTTTCCGCTTTTTCAATCTCCCATCAGCTCACCTGCTGCTGCTGCTGCTGCTGCTGCTGCTGCTAACAGAAGAGTAGCAAGAGCACCTCCCGGCACCAAAACAGCAAGGCACGGAAGGACGAACATGCCACAGAATCGCACCGAAAAAGTGCCTAACGTCCCTTCTGAATTCCTAGAAAAAATGTCTTTTTCTTAACCTTTTCCGCTTTTTCAATCTCCCATCAGCTCACCTGCTGCTGCTGCTGCTGTTGCTGCTGTTAACAGAAGAGTTGCAAGAGCACCTCCCGGCACCAAAACAGCAAGGCACGAAGGAAGAGCACCTCCCGGCACCAAAACAGCAAGGCACGGAAGGACAAACAGGCCCCAGAATCGCACCGAAAAACTGCCTAACATCCCTTCTGAATTTCTAGAAAAAATGTTTTTTCCCAACCTTTTCCACTTTTTCAATCTCCCATCAGCTGCTGCTGCTGCTGTTGCTGCTGTTAACAGAAGAGTAGCAAGAGCACCTCCCGGCACCAAAACTGCAAGGCACGGAAGGACGAACAGGCCCTAGAATCGCACCGAAAAACTGCCTAACGTCCCTTCTGAATTCCTAGAAAAAATGTCTTTTTCCAACCTTTTCCGCTTTTTCAATCTCCCATCAGCTCAGCTCACCTGCTGCTGCTGCTGCTGCTAACAGAAGAGTAGCAAGAGCACCTCCCGGCACCAAAACAGCAAGGCACGGAAGGACGAACAGGCCACAGAATCGCACCGAAAAAGTACCTAACCTCTCTTCTGATTTCCGAGAAAAAAAATCTTTTTCCCAACCTTTTCCGCTTTTTCAATCCCATCAGCCCACCTGCTGCTGCTCCTGCTGCTGCTGCTGCTGCTAACAGAAGAGTAGCAAGAGCACCTCCCGGAACCAAAACAGCAAGGCACGGAAAGACAAACAGGCCTTAGAATCGCACCGAAAAACTGCCTAACGTCCCTTCTGAATTTCTAGACAAAATGTCTTTTTCCCAACCTTTTCCGCTTTTTCAATCTCCCATCAGCTGCTGCTGCTGCTGTTGCTGCTGTTAACAGAAGAGTAGCAAGAGCACCTCCCGGCACCAAAACAGCAAGGCACGGAAGGACGAACAGGCCACAGAATCGCACCGAAAAACTGCCTAACGTCGCTTCTGAATTCCTAGAAAAAATGTCTTTTTCCCAACCTTTTCCACTTTTTCAATCTCCCATCAGCTCACCTGCTGCTGCTGCTGTTGCTGCTGCTAACAGAAGAGTAGCAAGAGCACCTCCCGGCACCAAAACAGCAAGGCACGGAAGGACGAACAAGCCACAGAATCGCACCGAAAAAGTGCCTAACGTCCCTTCTGAAATCCTAGAACTGCTGCTGCTGCTAACAGAAGAGTAGCAAGAGCACCTCCCGGCACCAAAACAGCAAGGCACGGAAGGACGAACAGGCCCTAGAATCGCACCGAAAAACTGCCTAACGTCCCTTCTGAATTCTTAGAAAAAATGTTGCAGAACAGAAGAGTAGCAAGAGCACCTCCCGGCACCAAAACAGCAAGGCACGGAAGGACGAACAGGCCCTAGAATCGCACCGAAAAACTGCCTAACGTCCCTTCTGAATTCCTAGAAAAAATGTTTTTTTCCCAACCTTTTCCACTTTTTCAATCTCCCATCAGCTCACCTGCTGCTGCTGCTGCTGCTGCTGCTGTTAACAGAAGAGTAGCAAGAGCACCTCCCGGCACCAAAACAGCAAGGCACGGAAGGACGAACAGGCCCTAGAATCGCACCGAAAAAGTGCCTAACGTCCCTTCTGAATTCCTAGAAAAAATGTCTTTTTCCCAACCTTTTCCGCTTTTTCAATCTCCCATCAGCTCACCTGCTGCTGCTGCTGCTGTTGCTGCTGCTAACAGAAGAGTAGCAAGAGCACCTCCCGGAACCAAAACAGCAAGGCACGGAAGGACGAACAGGCCCTAGAATCGCACCGAAAAACTGCCTAACGTCTCTTCTGAATTCCTAGAAAAAATGTCTTTTTCCCAACCTTTTCCGCTTTTTCAATTTCCCATCAGCTCACCTGCTGCTGCTGCTGCTGCTGTTGCTGCTGCTAACAGAGTAGTAGTAGTAGTAGTAGCTGGCGGTGGCAAACTCTTGTCTTATTCCCTGGCGCGCTCCCCCTTGCGTCAGCCGGGGTCGGCGGATATATATACATACATTTGTATATGCACAGATTATAGTTGTTTGCGCCGATTTTTTGAAAGAGTAGCCAATTTTCGTCGCTGGAGGTGCTCACCGAACTGGATGATCCCAAGAATACGGACACGGCGCTGGAGCTCTTAACTCAACTCTTCAGGGAGGAAGCAGCTTCCAGGTACCTCCTCAGCTATTGGATCATCTTCGATCTTATTTTGGCTTCTAAAAATGGGGATGTTGAATGGGTATTGAACAGGTCTTGAATGGGTATTGAATAGGTATTGAATAGGTCTTGAATGGGTATTGAACAGGCCTTGAATGGGTATTGAATAGGTATTGAATAGGTCTTGAATGGGTATTGAACGGGTCTTGAATGGGTATTGAATAGGTATTGAATAGGTCTTGAATGGGTATTGAATAGGTATTGAATAGGTCTTGAATGGGTATTGAACGAGTCTTGAATGGGTATTGAATAGGTATTGAATAGGTCTTGAATGGGTATTGAACAGGCCTTGAATGGGTATTGAATAGGTATTGAATAGGTCTTGAATGGGTATTGAACGGGTCTTGAATGGGTATTGAATAGGTATTGAATAGGTCTTGAATGGGTATTGAACAGGCCTTGAATGGGTATTGAATAGGTATTGAATAGGTCTTGAATGGGTATTGAACGGGTCTTGAATGGGTATTGAATAGGTATTGAATAGGTCTTGAATGGGTATTGAATAGGTATATATATATTTAATATTGAATGGCATTGTGTGTGATTTGCTGACATTATATGACATTATATGCTTATCTAATATCTTATTGTGGCTGTAGAATCGTGGCTTCATCTCCCAGGATCACCGTGGCGCGGTGCCTGGAGAGGATCTATGCAACCAATCTCTACGGAGAAGAGCAGGCGCCGAGGGCTGTGTCTGGAAATGGGGTATAGCCATGGCAGCCATGGGCCCATGGTATACCCCAAAAACATCAACGGCTACTGACTTATGTAATGACTTGGAAATTTGAATGAGGAGATTGGCTCGCAGTCTTTGGCTGAACTGAGAGGGCGAGAGAGAGAGAGAGAGAGAAAAAAAAAGACTTAATTAATGTTGGCAGGCTGCCAGGTTTTTTTGTCACAAAGAAGAACCTGCAGTACCTTCGTCGTTTTTTTTTATCAGAAACAATACAAACTCCGTAGGTTGGGTCCAGCACGCTGCCGTGAGGTCTCTGTGGCCTTCCGCTTTTTGCTTCGTCAAGGTTTAAGCCTCACCAATGGCAACACCCCTGAGGCGCCGAAGCGGATGAAGTCGATGGATACAAAAGGCAAGAAATAGGACGGCATGTGCATGTGTAGAGAGAGAAAGAAAGATAGTATATATAGATAGAGATATACATATATATATATTAAAAATATATAGTTATATAGTTATATATATGTTATAGATGTGTGGATAGATAGATAGATAGATAGATAGATAGATAATTGATATATATATATATAGATATCAATTCATTTGATTGTTCCCACAAGTCCCTTTCTGTATTTGAAAGCGAGAACTATGACAAATGAGCTGGATTCAAGACGCCTCAAGGTGAAGGGTGGCTAGAACAGGTTAGGTTTAAGTTTTAGGTTAAAGTTTTGAAACCCCACGTTCAGTTCAAGGTGTAACAGCTTCCCAAAATTTCAATCGAAGAGTCGAAGAGCAGAACAGAATCCGGGGAAATAAGCGGCAATGATTTTCCACTGGGGCCAAAGACACTGAAAGAGGCCAGCGAATTGCGGGACGTGCTATTGGCGGCAGGCTGGACCATGTGAAACATGACCCATGAATGCCACGTTCGGATTCTGCACAGATTCCACGGCGATAGCCATCGATGAAGGTATCAGCTTGATCGAGCAACATGGGGAAGAGCATGCAGAAGGACTCATCGGCATCGTGGAGGCTTTCGAGGACAGTGCTGCTGGCACTGCTGGAGGCAGGGAGTGATGGGATCCTGGTGAGAACGGCATCAAGTGATTGTCGAGGCTCATGGGTCCATAATGTCCATAATGTCCATAGTTTATTTTAATTTATGCATGTGTATACCGTTCTGGAGTTCTTGACTGCTTGGCCTTCGAGTAGTCAGCCCAGTTCAACTGGTAGGAACAGCTAAAGACATCAGATGGCCGACACGAGACATGCCATGTCACTTGCCAGGTGAATCTGCTCACCTTGGCATTGCCGTTTTCCTGGGGGCTTTGTCCAAGCACTTGGGTGCAGATCATGTCAAGGTGTGGCTGACACCAAGGGGGGAAGTTACAATTCTTGCAGCAATTGGTCAGCTAGGGCAAAACTTGCAACAGCTGAACCAATTCGTCCAAAAGAAAAGAGACAAGCTCAATGCTGCCCGTGATGTTCCAGAAGAGGACATGCCTGTATAACATTGTATAACCCCAACATGCAAATAAACTATAGGCACACTTGAGTGTCCCACCTCTGAAACTGACTCAAACATGCCACTCATTGAAGTCACTGCTGGGCGCCAGGTTCCAGAAATTCTCCCTAGGCTGTTGCAGAGGCTCTTGGACAGCACGTCCACCAGATCCGTTCAGAACGCCATTGTGAAGGCGTGTCGGCCGACTGCAGTGTGTGAATTCCGACTGTTGATATGTTGGATTGCATCCAGCGGATGGCACCACCGATGGCCATTTCCTGGGCTCAGGGACGGCCAAGTCTTCCTGCGTCACTGAAATTATGACCAGATTCGATTCTGTGGAGGGGCATTTGTGTTCGGATTTGGCCATTTGTTCTCTAGGTGATGCCACCATTGATGAAGCAGAACAAGGACTGGCCAGACCCAGCAGCTAAGCAGCTAACGGGTTAGGAATTGGAAAAAATTGGAAGAAAATGCAGTGCCAGGAGAAGGCAGCAGAGACCTTGGACGAACTTCTGGAAACCGCCTTGGCGCCCAAGACCGATGCGGTGAAGCGACGTGGAGCTGCCATGGGCGTCGGTGCCACCGTCAAAGGCCCGGCGGGTGCCTTGCCACCCCGTCCTTGCCGTAGCGGTCAGCTCAAGTCATGTTGTGCACCTTGCTGCAGGCATTGGCATCCAAGCAGTCAGGCAACACAACATCCTGAAAACCATTGAAGCTGCTGCAGAGGACACAGATCATCCATTTGCATCAAAACATATCAAGATAGTTCAAGATACATCAAAAGGCATAAGAGATCAGAAGAGCATGTTTTACAGAGAAAAAACCCAAAAAAACAAAACAGAACTTGATGTATCTTCAAAACTTCCAAACATTTTAAATTTTATGATATGTTAATATTAATATGTTATAATATATCTCTCTCTCTCTTGTGTGTTGATCATTCTTTCATCCCTGAGGACAAAAAGAGCGCAGCTATCCGTGAGGGAGCGCTGCTTTGCCTGGAAGGGCTGACCATCAACCTAGGCCGCGCCACGATGACTCATGATGTTTTATGATGTTTTAATTATTCTAATGTCTTTTCTATGGGGAGGAACAGTCCATGGAATTCCATCATATTCCATCTCATTCCATCCAATCAGGATTTAATGGTTTGGACTGTTTTGGACATGTTTACCCTCCATCGACTGGAACTTGACTAAACAGGCCGGCTGTTCGAGCCATATGTGGTGTCTTCATTACCGCTCTTGCTTCAGGTGCGAAAAAGGACTGACTAGTAGCACACAGATTTTACCAAGCAACATGATGGCAACATGAGTCAAAACCCAACACATTGACGCCTGATTTTCACAGCACTCATGTAGCGATGACTGAAATTGGATTTGAAGCCAGATGCACATGATTAGTTTTTCTTTTCATTCCTGGCAACGCATTGATTTGGACGAAAACAGGCTTGTTTTTCACCACCTTTTTCGTAGATGCTTCTGGTTTCCACATGTTTCCACCCCCATCAGTCCTTCGGATTCCTTCGGATTCCTTCGGCCAGGCCTTCTCGGATTCTCAACAAACGGTGCGCAATGCATCACAGGTTGCAGCTGGCGCCATGATGTCACAGCTGAGCGGACCAGGAGTGAAGCAGGTGCGACAAGTGCGACAACTGCACATCGATAAGGATCTCCTGACGATGTTCGTAAAGCAATACGAAAAAAAACATAGCTGGATGGTTTATACAACCCATTTATATCCATTTATATCCATTTATGGTAAATTTGGAGATGGTTCACTATTGATTTGCTAACAGCTACCACAGAATTTCGAAGCACAGCACTGAATTCGCTTCACTGAATTTCAGGTGTTGACTCCGCTGCTGGCTGGCATCCAGGACAAACAGTGACATGACGCGCAAAGAAGTTTGTTGAAACAACACATGCACAGATATACTGTAAATTACTATAACATATAATAACATATATATATACATATATATATATGCATATGAAAATGATGAGCGTGGTGCTGCACCTCAACAATCCTCAACAATCCTAAACATTATTCATCATAACTGCGCAGCTGGATAGCTGGATCCACTGAGGTGGCGGACAAAGCTGGGCAGTATTGAGCTGTTGGCATCGATGACGAGCTGTTTGGAGAAGCAGCTGGCAGCATGTTTGCCACAGGCAGCTGGATTCGTGTTAACGGATGTACGTTGACATACGGTGAGGAACCTACGGTGAGGAAGAGTTCAATGGCTGTGTCTGCTAATTGATAGATATATATATATATTAATTAATTAATTAATTAATTAATATATAATTGCCCTAATGGCCACTTGAAAGTTGTGGAACATGATTTACAGGATAAAGCGATTTTTACCATGAGAGACACCGGCTGCCCTGGGCAGGTGGTGCCTGCTTTGTGCACCGTGATTAATGACCAGCATGCGAAGGCGAGGCTTACGAACGGCACGATTCGTTTCTCCAAAGATGATATGGCATGATATGGCATGATATGGCATGATATGGCATGATATGGCAAAGGGATATCTATCTATCTATCTATCTATCTATCTATCTATCTATCTATCTATATATATATATTTATATCTATATATATATGTGTGTGTGTATATGTATATATGTATATGTATATAGTTGATCCTTTGCCCTCGCACTTCATGTCAATTTTTTAATATTCATCAGGAAGTTTGGAGCTTAGGTGAAGGAAGCAGCCAGAGAAGCTATTAACAAGGTCGGAAGCATCATCAGCAGCAGCTTGATGGCAGTTATTCCGATTTGCCACAGAGAGGTGAGAGACTTCGGATGAGAATTCGGATGTTGTTCAAACAACATGCACCAAGATGCATTGTATTGGAAATGTGCACATGCTGTGGGTTTAATATGTGTTCAATGTGAAGCAGTTACAGTACTGCATCGACTGCGGATTACCCCATGATACATTGATCTTCATTCAACCGAGAGGCGTCACGGACTTCCATCTGCAAGATATGAATTGAGTCGTATTGAGTCCATGTTTCATTAAAAAAATCATCCCCCGGGCCTAATATTAAACACCTTTGATAAGATCTTCACCGAGGCCCTGAGATCAAAGCCATTGCACCACAGTTGATCAGTGCGATGACGGACGGCGCACAGTCACCGGACGGATTTTCTCATTGGTTGAGTTGGTTGATCCATGTTGATCCACTATTTAAGGGAATCTACAGGTACAACGGTGTGTTGTATGGCTGTATGGCCCCCCTTGAGCAAATCCAAGAGAAGGGTTGAGACGAAGAAGCAGTTCAGCAGAGATTGGAAGAATGTCTTGGAGCATTGTGATATATTGTGATGCAATCCATGCGGGGGTGACACATTGACACAGCCGAGGAAAGCCAGTCTTGCCTACCTGTGATGTCAAGCCAAGATAAACCAAGTGAAACCTCAGGTTCGAACACATCACGCGAGATGTCCTCGACAAGCTCTTGGCAACATCCTTCGTGCATCACATCGATGCCCCATCCCTCTCTCTGGTTTCCGGGCAGCTCAGTGCATCCTGTGGGGATAGCATGGGATAGCTGTCAATCTGTCACGATCTGTCACGATCTGTCGTGGCTCAGGTTTGCCCATTGATCCACCGGGCAATGAAAGAACGATCTGCAGATATGAAGCGAAAGGGTGCGCAAATTGTGGGTGCCATGGTTCTCCTTATCAAGGACTTGTAATTCCAGACGCGAGTGACATTGTTGGTTCCGTTAGTTGGTTGTTCATGACTTATCAAGTCTTATCGTTTGAATTTCTTGAGAATGAGCATTCCTGATCTCAATGACGTCCTAAGCTGCTGTTGTAAGCCATCGTTTTCCCATCGTTTTCACATCGTTTTCCACTGCTTTTTTGGCACTGCAGGATGCCAAGGACATCCAGCCGTACCTTGATCTTTTGATTCCGCAGCTCAAGGTGACCCTAGTGGATCCCATCCCCGATGTGTGACTCGGCATGACTCGGCATGACTCGGCAGCGTGGGGTGATGTTTCCCGAGGGGTCCCAAGGGGGTCCCGATGTTTCTGGTGTTTTTTGTTGGGAGAAAAAACATCGGAGCATAAGGCGGGCAACTTCTGCAAAAGCCTTCGGCACCTTGGCCAATGCTCTTCCAGAAGACATGCTGGGTGACTTGGCAACATCCAGATCATCCAGCACCGTTTTAAGCGTGTTGAAGCCCTGTTGAAGCCCCAAGACTTGAAACTTGACCACGCTTCCAGGCGATGTTCTCCCGTGGCTCTTCGAGATGTTGCGCTCTTCAGGATCTGCAGTCGAGCGCAGTGGTGCGGCACATGGACTTTCCGAGGTTCTGATGGCGAAAGGTGCAGATCGCATCGAGATGCTGTTGCCAGATATCCTCACCAATGCTGGCAATCAGGACCTGAAAGTGTTCAAGTGCTACTCTTGGAATGTTGTTCCATGGCGGATTGGTATTAATTTGCTATAATTTGCTATTTCTCTCCATATGTGCACATGTATCTAGAATTATCTAGGATTATCTAGGCAACTCTAGATATAAGATGATATAAGTATATAAGAGCATAATTAATAGAGTCATAGATCATATAAGCATAAAAATATAATAAAATATATAAAAGTATATATATATAAGTCATATACAGGTCTCACAGTGTGGATCGGACTTCTGCCAATTTGCGCTGGATGCGGGTTCTGATGTCCTCAGTCTACGAAGGAAGCGGACCCCGAAGCTAGAGAAGGCTACATGGGTCTCTTTTGCTACCTGCCTGTTGCCATGGGCTCCACCTTTGAGCAGCTTGGCATAGCATGATATGATGTAATAGTACCCACAGACGCCGTGTGTTGCCCAGACATTAGCATTAAGAATGTCCTGCTGTCGAATATATGATAGGAGAGATATGGAGAGATTGCAGAAAATACTTCGTATACGCAGTGTTTTCCAGTTTAGGATTCAAAGTTTTCAGAGCCTAGGTTTTAGGGTTTTAGGCTTTGGGATTTTAGGGTTTGGGGTTTTAGGGTTTAGGATGGTTTAGGGTTTTAGAGTTTAGGGTTCGTCGTCTGGGAAATCTCAAAACACTGGCCCTGCGCAGGTGTTTGAGCATGTTGAAGGATAATGTTTAAACATGTTCGCCCCAACCCGGACGTTGCTCCACACTTACAATCGTCATGATCATCATGATCACCATCATCATGATCATCATCATCATCATCATCACCATCAACTCATCACATCATGATCATCATCACATTAAAATTCCCCCCCTGTACAATATGTTGACTGGGGTAATAACATCAACTTTATCTTCATGAGGGGTCAAAATTCGCCACCCCCTCTGAACAATATGTTGATTGGGGTAATAACATCAACTATATCTCCATGAGGGATCAAAATTCGCCACCTCCTCTGAACAATATGTTGATTGGGGTAATAACATCAACTATATCTCCATGAGGGATCAAAATTTGGCACCTCCTATGAACAATGTTGGTTGGCGTAATAACATCAACTTTATCTTCAAGAGGGATCAAAATTCACCGCCCCCTATCAACAATATGTTGATTGGGGCAACAACATCAACTTTATATCTTCATAGCCACCTGAAGGCAGACGCGGCGCAGCGTCAGGGTTGCAGCGAACATGTTTAAACGCCATTTGAACCTTCCGGGCAACACACAGCGCCTGGCCAATAGTATGCTATGTGATGTGTTATGCATTCTTATGTAATGTCATGTATGATAGTGGGTGGGGGCGCACGTAGGTATTATCATAAAATATACGTATATAATTATACATACATATATATATATTTATTTATTTATTTATTTATACTTGTTAATTATCAGTATATTATATATGTATATGTATATAGAAATAGATCTGCGTGTGTGTGTGTGTGCGCGTGTGCCGTTGGACGTGTAATTTCACAGAATGACATAGGCACAGAAAAGATGCGTTGCAGACCTCCACAGTGCGTCTGCATAGCTTGCTTTCAGGCCATACATTGAAGAAGTGCTCATTATGCTGCTGAAGGGTATGTCTGACGATGTCTCCTCCTGCCGTGACACCGCATTCAAGGCACCATTTGAAATCGATCTGATTGTGGATCTGGAAAGATCTATATAATGCTAACGAGAACGAGAACACGCTACTTATTTGGTGTCCACACGCAGGGCCTCACATGTGGCTTCCCTCATTCACTTGGTTGCCAGGCTGCCCAGACAATCACGAAGCACTTTGGATCATCTCACACGGCACTCTTGCTTCCACCATTGGAGGAGGCTCCAGCACCAATGAAACAATAGGAAACATATCCAACAGCTTGTGGCTCATTGCAGTTTTTTGTAGATCCTGTCTCGGGCTCTGATGATACTGTATTACATTGTATTACATTACAATATTAGTAATTACATTTGATGGCTTCAATAATTATAGTAAAATATATAGCTCCCATATATATATAGAGTTTCATTGGTTGCTCTAGAGTCATAGATAGTCATAGATAGTCATAGATAGTCATAGATAGTCATAGTAAACCTTTCAGCTTCTTCCATCAAGATGCCTTGGACCCCAGGGGGTCTTCGATGTGGACTGGCGCATTCGACATGGTGCAGTGCAACTCATGGGTCAGCTGCCAGGTCCTCAGTGGCAGCTGCTAGATATGCTTAGATTAGATGTGGAAAATTTACAGGAAACCCCCATATTTCATGTGAAAATCCATGGTTTCCTGTAGATGTTCCCCTAAACCAATCCGTTGACTCCAGTAAACTAACAGTTTGCTATGGAAAATGTGGGTTTTATAGTTGATTTACCATTAATAATATGTAAAATATGCATGAATAATAGATGATTCATGATGTAAAATATAGATGGAACCTCTAGTAAACTAACTTTTTTCTGAGTAAATCAACTATAAGTCACCCATGTTCCATAGCTATGTTAGTCTATCAGAGGCTAAAATATAGATGAATAATGATGAATATAGTTTATGCATTTGTGTTAACATGATATTGTATTACTGAAAATAGATATGCATGTGTACATGTGTACAATTGTGTACATAAATATCATAAATGATTTCTCTTTGGCGTTGCATGGCGTTGCTTTCGTGATCTTTCGTGAGGATCCAACAGATCCTGCGCGCTCACCGCATTCCAACCAACAGTGCGGAGCTGATGCAAGTCGAAGCTCTGCCCCGCGAGTGGCGGTGCCACATGCTGGCATCGCTGTACATCGTTCGAAGTGATGAGACCCTCAGCAGGGTCAACCCGTGACGGATTTCGACCTTTGAATAGTTGATGAAATGTGTGCACCTGGTCACCTGGTTACAGATAACCCTCGAAAATTGCTGAGGAATCATAAAAAACAGTGAGAGAGAATTGTTCTATTCCATCGTGTTGTTGGGATTCTTCACGTTCTATGACATACACTCCATCTTTATCGCCTTGAGGAACAGCGTCGTGAAACAAGCGTGTGGCCAAGTGTGGAAAGCGGTTGTGCAGAACACGCCTCGAACTCTCAGAGAGTTGCTGCCCACACTGATGACACGCTTGATCGCCCCCCAGCAGCAGGTTTGTTGCCACATCTCCAGGTACTTGAAATCTCGGACCATGACCAGCATGACCAGTAAACAAATTGGGCACCATGGGATTCAACTGATTCAACCGAAAAAAGGCTCGTTGTAGCACCGAGGCAAATTTGGCTTCAACGAATCGGGAGAAGCAACGGGTCGCAGCGCGCTGTGTGGGCGACCTTGTGGGCAAACTAGGTGGCCAGCTGTGGCTGTGGGCATGGGCTGATATGGGCTGACATTGTCTGATTTGCGGGGTTCTTCAGCCGGGGGATCCCCAAAACCATGGGCTTCAATACTAAGATGGTCTAGTTTTGGATGATTTGGGGTTTCTCCTTTCACATAGGAAACCTCTATTTGGATCTGTTTAATCTGTTTAATCTGTTTGGCAAATAAGTGGTATGCCTTTCCATCTGTGCAAAAATAGCGACAGCTGCCGGATGCCAGGGGAACGGGTGATGCCGGAACTGATGCCGATCTTCATGGACACGCTGTCCGAAGGCCTGAGCCTTTAAAACCAAACCGAAGGCCATGGTTTGTTGAATAAAGAATCATCAATCCCCTGATTATAGCAAACAATGGGAAGAATATTGAAAGATATGTGCATATAATAAAATATAATAAATATATATATATATATAATTATCTTTATACAATTATATGCACACATACTATGGCATAAGGACGGTTTCACGAATCATGGCTCCCACTTCGACTCGGTGTAAGGCGATGCACATGTCCGAGAAGGTGTTTGCATTGGCTTAGCGGAGCTCATCAATGCGACCACCAAGGCCAAGCAGAAGGTCATTCAAGGTTTAGTTTTACTACAGTTACTACAATTCTATAGATGATGCTGTGGTATTATAATGTATCATATACGATTATAAAATATGGGAAATATGGTTAAAGAGTTGCAACGAAATATGGCTCTCCGATGTTAGTCTACAGCAACCCTTAGAAAGATGGAAAAAAAAGGCGAAAGAATGAGAAATTCTACCAGAGTATGCTACAGTGTCTTTTTGGGCTGCTTTCTAATGTTGCCACAGGACTTAATATCATAAAAATCCTCATATTCATCATAATAAGTTCCCGTGATATCATATATATATATATATATCCTCACGTTCAGAATTATATCATTCTAGTTCCTTCAGAATCTTCAGATAATAGTTATGAATATCTTAAGTAACCTATATCTATACTATAGTAACCTATTCATTAAATGGCACTATAATATATATATATATAGGTTACTTGGGTGACTTTTTTCCTCTTCCACTGCCAGGACCTGCTGGCAGCCTACTTGGATCAGTTGATTCCAGCGATCCAACAGGCGATCATCGATGATGACGAGTCGGTGAGGAATCAAGCGAGCACAGCTGCTTGGCCGCGTCGAAAAAAACACAAAAAAGGACGCGAAACTGTGAATGGTCAAAGATCTTTTCGATATCTATACCTATATGATATGTATATTTATATGTATACACATGTGTGTGTGTGTTTGCACAACTAGACATGTCAAAGTTTGGCCCAGGTAGTTGCACTGCTTCACAATGCAGTGGGGCCACGGGCGACCAAAGACATCGTGGAATGGTTGCTGGGAGAGCTGGCGGAGGAGGAGGAGGCCCGGCCTGGGATTATGGGATGAATGACCTTCGAAGATCTTCGAAGTGTGTTGGAGTTTAAAAAAATGTTCAACCCTCCAAAATTGGAGCAGAAAATTGCACTAGATGAATCCTACATTAATCATCATTAAACATCATGAAACATCATTAAACCGTCCCTGTCATACCAAAGCACCAGATCGGTCAAAACAAATCCAGGAAGGTGAGCTTTACCTGCAGGGCTTGGAACAGCTCATGAAGAAGCAGCCAGGCCTGGGCAACGTTGTATGAAGATGCAGATCTATTTGGTTTTTGTAGTTTAGTCATACTGTTTCATCATGCTGAAATTTGTTGATATATGCCTATATATATATGTATATATATATATGTGTGTGTGTGTGTGTCTAATGCCATCACACATTTGGGTTCAACATGGTTCAACCATCGTGAAATGGGGATAGAAATACCTCAAAAATGAAACGATCTATGACCAAATCAGGGATTTTTGGGCCGAAATTGATAGTAGAGGGATGAGATTAATATACATGAATCATGAATCGTTCGAGATCGTTTTCTTGGCACTTAGTGCACATCCCAACGTGTCAAGATTGGAAGAGATACTGCATCCATATAATCCATATAGCTATAGATCACATATGCCTATGCCTGGCCTATGCCTGGCCTATGCCTGTTTTGCCACGTGCTACGCTAAACTCTCTCGTGTCCAATTCCCTTTGCAGGCGCCGTGCTGCCAACGGTTCTGGGCGAGCTTGCTTCGCCTTCGAAGACAGACTACACCATGTTGCAGGTGCGCGATGGGCCGTCGGCATCACAAGCATTCACAAGCACTAGTGTTGCAGGTGGCTGAGTGATCTCTGGGGGGGCCATGAGATCCCATTGTTATCAATGTACAGTATATGTATATGATATATATATATATATGATATGTGTACATCCATCCATACAGTGCGCGCCTCATTTGATGTCGGCACTGAGGTGCAAGGATTAGCTTCACTGGCTGTGGTGCCCGATAAGCATGCAGTCCATCGTCGCCTGGCAGCAACGCTCAATACCCCATGCTGGGTTTTAGTGGATGCATCAATTATTCAGGTTGGATCAGGTGCATTTGTCTGAAAATCTGGCATATATCATGTGTATATATATACATATACTTTATCATATATCATCATATATCCAAACGGCCATTTTAGTGGGGAAAAGGATGATAGACCATCAAGGGTCAAACTCTGTGGTTCCCACTTTTGCCTGGATGGGTTTGAATCCAAAGGCCACTTGGGAGATGTGTTGCCTGTCATCATGAAGGTTGCAAGTGGCGCGGATGATCCTTACCGGCAAGTGATGTGCATTTTCCGTGGTTGGCATGCCAGCTTCAAGATTGGTTTGTGAGCATGTGAGCATTCAAAGTTAACTGTTTGATTTTACACCTTCCTCATCGTACGGCTGGCGTTTCCGCAGTCTGTGCATTTCCTTTTTGGAAATGAATCACGGAGAGATAGCTGGAATTCTAGGTCTTGCCAAGAATCGTGGGGTGTAACATGGTGTAACAAGCATTCTGGCCTATGCTATGGCTGAATGACTGAAAGCACTTGTTATTTTCTTAGCCATCGCCCAACTAAGACAACGCCTGAAATGCGAGAAATCGCTGTTGAGTCTGCGGCCCGTGTGGTGGATGCAGTTGAGCAGAACGGTTTGGTGATGCTACTCAATGAACTTGTCGGACCGATGCAGGACTCATGGTGATAGCAGGGGGTACAATTTTTGATGGTAATTTGTGTTGATTAACTGATGATTTATGTTTATATATATATATACTTTATTTTATTTTATCACTACAGTATTTTGGGAAGCAACCTCCCAATTAAGAGTCGGAATTTACTAATCCGGGGTTGGCTTTAGTGATAGGACATAAACGCACTGGCCACCTTGAAGTTCCTTCGAGATTGTGACAGAGGTGTTTCATGCATATGGACTTACGATTTGTATCATTGTGTTATAACGTGTTACATATATATATATACACATATGTATGTATGTATGTATGTATGTATGTATGTATGTATGTATGTATATATATATATATATCCACGTGCTTGTAGAATTATATATATGGGCATTATCAGATCATCTATGTGTGTTTTTGTGGGGCCCGCATTCCAACATAGGTTGAGACAGTTTGGGGCCGAAGTTCTGACAGTTGTCCCCAGGACTCAGAAAGTGCAATGAGACGAGTTGTAGCTGCACAGCTCTTCAAGCACTTTTTCGAAAACACCAGCAACTTGGATCACTCGGATGCTGTGGTATTGCACTGGTTTGATGTGGACAGATCTGATCCCAAAAAGGAGCAATACAGGGCCTGGTGGAGACATAGATAGACGTGCGTTGTGAACGGATGCTATCGCTGCATATCGCTGCCGTGAGGCTTAGACGTGGTCCCCGCTCTGCCGTTGGCCTTGCCGGCGCTTCTACCTTCAGCTCTTGCAGATGAGGATGATGAGGCTTTGGCAGCTGCCATGGGAGCACTGAATGCCATCGTGAAGAAATGCATCTTGGTGAGGATTACCCTTTTTTTAAGGGAAATCATTGAAGTCATCTATAGATGAACTATGTAGAATAGCTATGTAAAATTACCAAAGGGTATCACGGGAGACTGGATATGACTCGATGTTGAGCAACACCATCTCAAAGTCGACCTCAAATTACAACAGATCATCCATTATGCCCAAGCCATCCAAAGCCTGTAATAGAAGAAGTCAGGACAAGGCAGTCATGGTTTACGAATCATAGTTTACGAGTCATGGTTTACCAAAGCAGAAGTCAACCAGGACAAGGCGTTCTCCAAAGCACAATGTCACGTTAGAACTGTCCAGAAGGAATTGTCAAATGTTGATCCAAGGCAAAAAAGAGGAGCTTCCTCCGTACCTGAACGAGGTGCGTGGTGCAGTGTTGAAGCTCATCACAGATCAGCAGACTAAGAAAGTGGATCCAGAAATCTACCTTCCAGGACTGGGATTGAGGGATGTTGAGGTCCTGTTGAGGTCCTGTTGTGCGCTGGTTCCAAGGGTTTTTCCCACGTCTTGGATGGAGGACTTTGCAATCACAAAGGCCTGGAGCCTTTGTATCCCATCTACCAGCATGCCTTGGTCAATGGCAATCCCGAAGCGCGCGAGGTTGCCGCAAAAGGCGCGGAGAAGACATGCTTGGGATTTGGGAGTCCTCCCAATTCTTTCAAGTATAGTAATGGGTTGGGATATGTTGGGATGTTTTGGAGAAGTTTGGAGGCCGGCCGAACTCAACACAGACTGGTCGGCCGGCCGGGTAAGAAATAGCAGGACGAGTTCCCCGCGCAGTCAGAAGTTTGGGGGATGCTCTTGGTGTTCCCCCCCTCTTGCAACAAATAGGGGTATAATATATAGATATATATATATATTGTGATACAAGTCTTGGAAGCGGATGAAGCGGTGCGTCAGGTCTTGGTGAGCTGGTGGATCACACCACAGAGAAGGCATTGGCTCCTTACGCAGTAAAAATCACAGGCAGAACGGGTGGTGGCAAGGTTAGCAGATGTTGGCAGCTACCAGTGGTGAACGGGTGATGTTTCAATTGGGTGATGGGTCAAAACCCATTATCACCATTTATTACCGTACTTTTTTGGGACCAACCATCCATTAACCAGCTACGACTCAGGGTACCCCACCAGGGTTTTGACCCAAAACCATGTGTGAAACTTCCGCGAAACACAGAGGCCGTGGAGGCCATGGATGCCATGGCCATCCGCCCATCGAGGTCCGTTGATCCGCATTGTCGGCGACAAGTTCCCAGGAAGCGTGAAGAAGGCAATCGTCGAAGCTCTTCGCTCACTGCTGGTGCGTGGAGGCGGCTGGAATTCTGGATCCCATGGGATCCCATGGGTTTCGATCAGGTGTCAAGCCTCAAAAGGAATAGTCCTGACATGCCCCATGTCTTGACATTGCTATATTTTTACTACATAGGTAGAAAAGATGAGATGGGGTGGGATAGGATGAGGCAGACAGACAGAGACAGGTAGATACCTAGATTGACTCTGTCATGGTTTGTTGGGACTAATCCTTTCCCTGTGAAATTAAATATATTTAAATATCCATAAATATCCATAAATATCCTCCTTTTGGGTACCTGATTGGGTGTGTTTGATAAGTATATTGGCTATATACATATACATATATATATACACATATATATATATATAGTCCCCTTACAATGCTTAAACCGTGTTAAACTCCAAAGTCTCATGGTTGTCTTATGGTTAAACCATGTCAATCACCATGTCAATCCCCAATTTCAGGATGGGATTCTTATGGAATACCATGGCTCTCTAAATGGTGCTTGGGTATGACCAACCAACTGAGGTGACACTCTCAGACCTTTCCTGCCACAGCTCCAGACAACGTATGTGAAGTGCTTATCGGATCCTCCCAACTCGCAGGACATGTCCCAAAAAAACGACCTGGATGAGTGTTGCAGATGAAAACTGAATAAACTGTTGCGATAAATTCATCGAATTTTTACTGGGAGGACAAAACCGAAAACACACTGTTTTTCTGTTTTTGAAAAATGATTTTGGACTGGTGTTCAAAGCATAGCAACCGTTCAAACTGAAAACAAACTTCATAGTTTAACGTGAGCACGAAACTCATTGATACTGTGCCTTCCATGATCTTCCTTGGTTGTATGCGGTTTGAACTTAGGCGTCACCGTGGTGCTGTAATTTGTCCTCTTCTCCTATCCTACTCGCTTCCCCATGGCTGGTGATTTGGCCAACTTTGATATTAAAAGCAATATTCTCTATCCAACATGGCTAGGATTTTCCCATGATTTTCCCATGATTTTCCCATCTAGTCATGGTCATTTAACGGGGATATTCCAGCGGTTGAACAGCACCAGGAGGTCCGCGAGAAGGCGGCCGAATCGCTGGGGATGTTGGTCCGGAGGGCGCCACGCACGGAGCCCTTGATCAACGAGTCGCTGAGCACCAAAAATCTGGGAATCTGGGCCCCAAAATGGGCCCCAAAATCGGTGATTTTAGAGGGAAAATGAATGAAATTGAGCATGAACATGATAAACCATGGGATTTTGGGGTGATATTATGTTATATATATATATGATATTATATGATGTTATATTGCCATTCTGACACACACCTAGGTCATTTCACAAGTCGTTGGCACAGGGCAAGCTGCTGCACAGCTTTCGATTGAATGGATCTGGAATGTGCGTCATCAAGTGTGCAGGCTAGTACTGATAGTACTTGCTGACATAGGTTGTTAGTTCAAGATTCTCCAAGAACTATGTCCGAGATTTGGTTTCAGGGAAAATTGGCAGGAAACCCCTATAGTTGATGAGGAAACTATATGAAACTATGGTTTCTGGACTTGTAATTTTCCCCTTGGATCAACGTGTTCTTGGCGATCCAAGGCTTTGCACAGGCGTCGCAAACCAGACAGACCCTGCGGCCCGACTTGCCATGGGTCATGCACTGGGAGAGGCAGGGCCCGGAGCTGCAAGGACTCCGGAGCTTGAAGTGTACTGTGAGCCGAGCGTGCGCTGCGATCCAGTTTAAAGGGAACCCCAAGATGACCAACACGTCTAACGACATCTAACGACATCTAAATGACTAATGTGGCCAAAGTCTGTCCATGTCTATCCTACAAGGTTAGAACGTGGAAGAATTGATGAGACCCACTGCAGAAAAGTTGCACAGAGTGATACTTGAGACTCTGAAAAGACGCTCCTGCAGGTTCTTTTGAACCTGCCACAAGCCACCAGCGAAGCCGCACAGGCTGGGAGCCACGGGTAAAAGAGAAAACAGAGACACAAGTCCATGTATACTCCATGTTCTGGTTGAAAAATGAACAATTACAGCCGCCAAATGGCCATTCAATGGGGAGAATATGAAGATACGCCAAATGGAACCCCAAATCTGGTTCCTCTCTGTTTCGGTCAAGGCGAAGATCCTCACCGCCCTCACCAGCCACAGCTTCGAAATTGATGAGCCAAGGGAATGTGAGGCTAAGAATTGGGGTGATGTGGGTGGATCAGCAGTTTTCAGTAGATGGACTTGCCATGGACCAATGGATGACTGTGCAGGTCATCGGCTGGGCGTTCGGCATGTTGCTACGCCGGCACCTTCCCACAGAGAAGGCCGTTGAGGTCTTTGGCCAGGAGGCCGATTGCCTATGTTGAAGTGTCAAGTGTCCAGTGTATCCCGATATTGTTCAATCGGAATCAATGGCTTCCCTATTGATTTATGATGACGATGACGATGATGAGGATGATGATGATGATGATGATGATATGTACATATATTGATGATTTTGATGGTCTGCCAAACACCCCTTTCCAATATCATTACATCCATTATGTGCCTATGATATCTCCCACCGAATTCACCATTTCCGTCCTTGGACAGGTCAAGCCCCTCCTCTCGGGAGCCAAGCGCACCATAGGAGCTTTCGCATTGGCAGGCAGATTGTGGAACTCAGTGGGTTGCCCGTCTTGTAAATAATAAATGGGAATGATACTGGAAGAAAATCTAAGTTTCCTGGGAAAAAATCTAGGACCCTGGAAGAAAAAAAAACTAAAATTACTGCAAAAATATTCCTTTGGTTCCCCTGGTCCTCTGGTCCTGGTCCCTGGGTGCCTGGGTCCTCTTGATCCCCTGGTCCTTTACCCTCCTCATCCTTTGATCTCCGGAACTAACCCTATAGAAGCCGGAAAGCGACCTTGAATAGGCCACAAACCAACCCTCAATAAAACCTAAACCAGCCGTCCTACATAAACATCCCGCCGGGTCGGGAATGGAACGTGTAGGCGTTAGCAATTCACGTCTCGGCACTTATGACCAACACTGGGATTTACCAGTGATTTTGTCTCTGGCCATGATGAAAAATGTCTAATTCTGGTTGCGTTTTCTTTTTTTTTGCGTGTTTTACCTCAGCGGCAAGCAAATTTTGTCAAAATGCCGTTACCTCCACGGATGCATCTCTGGGAGCCGATGTGTCTATTTCCACAGCGGCGTGCGTTTTTTACTCGCTGACTTGTCTTGCCTACAACTTGGCCACTTGAGTGCCACACAGTTGAAACAAGTTATCATGCTCAGCATGTGTGAATCTCCATTGCCAACTGCGGATACGCAAAGGTATTTGTTTTGACTGAGAGCTGAGGGACTTTGGAATATAAGTTTTCATTTGCGTCCAGCAGCTGTCAATGGTGCCTGTGTGAACACTCAAGGCTCTGTTTCGAAATCTTTCTGTGCGTTGGAATTCCCCAGCACTATGGTTTACAAAGAAATGTTTCGCACGGCACTCATGAAGTGCAAGTGAAGATCATATAGCGTAGCATGAAGTGCAAGTGAAGATCATGTAGCGTAGCATGAAGTGCAAGTGAAGATCATATAGCGTAGCATGAAGTGCGAGTGAACATCACGTAGCGTAGCATGAAGTGCAAGTGAAGATCATATAGCGTAGCATGAAGTGCAAGTGAAAATCGTAGCATGAAGTGCAAGTGAAGATCATATAGCGTAGCATGAAGGGCAAGTGAAGATCACGTAGCGTAGCATGAAGCGCAAGTGAAGATCATATAGCGTAGCATGAAGTGCAAGTGAAGATCATGTAGCGTAGCATGAAGTGCAAGTGAAGATCATATAGCGTAGCATGAAGTGCAAGTGAAGATCACGTAGCGTAGCATGAAGTGCAAGTGAAGATCATATAGCGTAGCATGAAGTGCAAGTGAAGATCATGTAGCGTAGCATGAAGCGCAAGTGAAGATCATATAGCGTAGCATGAAGTGCAAGTGAAGATCATGTAGCGTAGCATGAAGTGCAAGTGAAGATCATGTAGCGTAGCATGAAGTGCAAGTGAAGATCTTGTAACGTAGCCATAGACACGGTTGCTATTAACCCCACCCCACCCCACTTCAACTTCCTGAAATGAGCACGACTACACGTAGGGTTTTTGACCCGGTGGCATAAACATCCCTAAAACAAGCTGAAAGAATCACCAGGAAAAAAAAGACACCCAAACAACTCCAACTAAGCCCTAGGATGACAGCTAAAAACTTGAACCAAAACTAAATAAACCTTGAAGCACAATCAAACAAGCACCAAACCAACCATAAATCGGCACTATATAACGCAAACGTAAACATAAAGAAACACCAAAACAACCACAAACAAACCCAAATTAAATCTTAAATAATGCAATCCAAATAGTTAAACCATCAGCAAGGCCTAAATAAACCATAAAATAAGCCCTAAACCAGCACCAAATAAACCCATGCACTACATAACAAAACCCGAATTAGGCTCAAAAAGCTACCCCTAAACAAAGGCTAAACCAACATTCAATAGAGCCTATAACAACCCGAAAGAAACACCAAACCAGCACTCAAATCACACTACAACAACTTTATGTGTTTTTGTCTCGCTTGGAGGCACTTCAACCAGAATTCCCGGTTTCTTCCACCACTGGGGCGTTGGATTTGGGTTCTGCATGCTGTGATGCAGCAACTTTGAATCGACACCAAACAAACACCACCAAGCCAACCCAATTCAACACTTATAATTACAACACAAGCCGAAGTAAACCTCAAAAGAAAACCTAAAGCAACCAAATCTAAACTGTAAAACAATTTAGAAAAACACACGCCCAAACTAACCGTACAGAAACGCGTAGTACGGATGCTGAGCTGTTGGCTCCAAGATGCTGCGAGCACTTTGCAGACAAGGGATTCAAGGCCAAAGTGTTTTACAGCAAATGCCATACAAATTGAATGCAAATTGCATCCTTAGGTTCCAAAACCCTGCAAACATTGTACAAATATGAGATTTCAACTGCAAATAAAGCTCAAAGATTCAAGGCCAAAACGCTTTCAATCCCATGCAACTTGCATGTTTAAGTTCCCAAACCCTGCAAATATTGTACAAATAAGATGTTTCAGCTGCAAAAAATGTGTACGGATTCTGAAGTTTTTTTCTTCAAATTAGTTGTTTTTTTCCATTGTGGAGAGTAGGGGTGAATCTTAATTTGTTTTTCCAGTAGTCAAAAGTGTTTCCCAGTGTCTACCCTAATAAATGGGCATAAATGATCATAAATGGATATAAATGCGCAATATGTACTGTTTGGGTCCTGGTGCTACTTGTGTGTTCCAGTCGTTGGCGAGTTGACACGTCTAGGGATGTCACTTCATCATGACAGCCAGCCGCAACAGGCATTTGTTGGTGCCAGAAGCCTTTCCTGGAGCAGCCCGCGGCAGAGGAACTGTTGGATCTCGCAGAGACTTGGTCTTGGATTTGGTCAAAATCCATTCTTCATGTGGGGTTCATTCCTCAGTCCGATTCCTGATGGCAGCTCTATTTGTGAGGTCGAAAGCAGCACAAATCCCATGCAAACTGAAGCCAGGTAAAGAGAGGGAGAGAAGATGAGACTGTGCTGGTCGTTCGTTCTGTAACTTGCGCTAGGTTTTGCGTGACATGTTATTTTGCACGGAAAAAAGTGCAACCATTGTGTACCGAATTGTGTCGTGAAGTCAAAGAAAGATCGGACCAACAAGCAAGGATAAAGCTGCAGTTAGCCTCCTGCCACAGTTGCTGAAGGACAGTCAGACTGAGGCGCACTGTTTTCAGGGGTTGCTGATAAGTCCTTTGAGTATGTTTGAGCTCTGCAAGTGAATTTTTGCTCCACCACTCGAAGGTGCAAAATGCAGGGCTGGCCCTGGCAGCCAGTCTGGCAAAGCTCTATGCGAAGCTTCTTGGTCAAGCAGTTGCTGATCTTTTTCCTCTGCGAAAACGAAGAACAGAAAGTCGAAAACATATGGAAAAGCATGGAACAACAGCCATTAATGATGGTTAATGATGGTTAATGATGGTGCAAGGAAAATCCACCTTTAAAAACGCTACTGCAATGTCCAAGGACCTCGCGATCTTGGGAGCCACTCGATGCTGTAGCAGAGAAAATCGCTGCACTCGTGGGACCAGGCCACCCCTTTCCCGCTTCGATCAGTTCATTTATGGTTTTTTTTATGGTTCATTGGCAAAGCAAGTGGTATAATTACGTTGTAAACCTGAGAACAGAGATGGGTATGGGTCAATACCTATAGATATTAATTTTTAGGGGGATGAACATCCATTTACCAGCTATTTTGATGTGAACAGAAGGGGTACAAGGGTTTTGACCCATCCCCAGATGACTTTTCATTGGAGTTTCTTGATGTGTTTTTGTGTTTCTGGAGCACACTTCGGTCCTCACCAGGCGATGCCGCTGTACAAAGTCGCAGCGCATCCTTGGCAGCACGGCATTTCTTGGGTGCCTACTCCACACAGGAGGCGCGCGATTTCTTCATTTGATGGTTGCTGAAGACCTCAAGGTCTGTCAGAGTCTATCACCAATAAATGGCACCCGAAGAAAGTGATTCGCTTTGTCCATTAAACAGATCGGATTTCAGCTGGGGAGAGCCTTTATCAAAAGCCAAGCTGTATTTGGGAGGAAGGAACACACGTTTGCATATATGGTGCGGCTTCTGCAATCATTCGAATCTGATGCCAGGGAAAATGTAGACACATGACTCATTTTCAAGGGACCAGGAATTGGGAACGTGGACCTGTTGCATTGGGTTGTCCTTCGCCCTATGCCTGGGGCATTACTGGTCTGCAACATACATTGGGCATGTCCGAACTAAGCTTCAACGCCTAGGCTGATCATCAGCTGATCCCCTTGATTTCTTTTCCTCCTGGTCCAGATTCAATTTTTGGTCATCACAAGTCGTAGAACGAAGATCCAACTGCACAAGTAAAACTCAAGGATGTATATATTACATGTGTATACATACATACATACATACATACATACATACATACATACATACATACATACATACATACATACATACATACATACATACATACATACATACATACATACATACATACATACATACATACATATAGTACCTGCAGATGACATGGGAGTTGTCGAACATACCCAAAAAACGATAACTCCCATGTCATCTGTAAAGTGAAAAAAGCAGAACAATGCATAAGTCCCATGTCATCTGTAAAGTGCCTCGCAAAAAAAATCACATGACACGGGACCTCTGCAATTGTTTGGGTTCTAAAAGATGCAAAACGTGTCATGTCAACTAAACTGACACACTGTACATTTCACATCCCACACAAAGATAGTATATGAGTGTATGACTACCTGCTAGCAGTTTGAATAATCCAACATTATACGTCAGCTGTTAGAATATTCCAAAGTCACATGAATCCATTCACTTCGTTCTATTTAGCAACTATCTAGCAGCTATTCAGAAGCTACTTGGCAATTCTTTAGCATTTATTCAGCAGCTATTTACCAACTATTTTGAAGCTATTTAGAAGCCATTTGTCAATTATTCAGCAACTATTTAGTTATTTTGCACCTATTTAGTACTTATTCAGCAACTATTTAGAAACCATTTAGAAGCTATTTAGCAACTATTTAGCTGCTATTTAGCAGCTATTTAGCAACTATGTAGCAACTATTGAGCAGCTATTTAGCAACTATTTAGCTGCTATGTAGCAGCTATTTAGCAACTATTTAGCAACTATTGAGCAGCTATTTAGAAGCTTTGAAACTATTTAGCGGTTATTTAGCAGTTTTTTTAGCTATTTAGCAGCTATTTCAGCAACTATTTGGCGGCTACTAAAGCTATTTAGCAGCTATTTAATACAGGTAACTATTTAGCAACTATTTGGCAGACATTTAGCGTGTATTCAGCAACTATTTAGCAGCTACCTAGCACGTATTTAGCAGATCCCTGTGATCATTTTCTCTACAAAATAGTGCGGCAAATAAGGAGGTGCAAACACCTCTCGAGCCAGTGCAGGGCCACCAGTTCAAACTTTGTCTACAAAATACAGGATTGAGCGTCGTCAAATGTATATTATATATATATATATATGTATATAATGCTATACATGTCATGTGCTTTACATGCATGAAAATTGAATACGATTTTATTGATACCAAGATTGAACAACATTGAACCTTAGATAACTCACATTTCGTATATAGAGTTGCATGACCTACCTGTGCATACACAGGGCACACCAAGCCTTTGAAAAATATCTAACTATTATTGAACACATATGCACAATTTTAAGATTTCAAAAAATTACACAATAAGTTTTTTCTCATTTACCCACCATAAAACGTGACATTTCTCATTTTCTCGTTGTGTCCCTCCCGTTATAGGCTTCCCCGTTGACCCTGTGTGTTACCCCCGTTGCGCCAAAGTTTTATGTGTGGCTTACCTCCGTTGCCGGGTCGAAGTCCTCGAGCCGGGCTCTTGGAAGTCCCATGTCATGTGGTAAATTCGTCTCCCTTGAATGTCCCATCTCCTGCGGTTAAATTCCTCTTCCTGTCTCCCTGCCTGCCAGTTCCCACGATGCCCAACCTCCCGCGGTAAATTCCTCTTCCCGTCTCCAGTTCCGGCCTTGGAAGTCCCATGTCATGTGGTAAATTCCTCTTCCCGTCTCCCTACCTGCCAGTTCCGGCCTTGGAAGTCCCATGTCATGTGGTAAATTCGTCTCCCTTGAATGTCCCATCTCCTGCGGTTAAATTCCTCTTCCTGTCTCCCTGCCTGCCAGTTCCCACGATGCCCAACCTCCCGCGGTAAATTCCTCTTCCCGTCTCCCTACCTGCCAGTTCCCACGATGCCCAACCTCCCGCGGTAAATTCCTCTTCCCGTCTCCCTACCTGCCAGTTCCGGTCTTGGAAGTCCCATGTCATGTGGTAAATTCGTCTCCCTTGAATGTCCCATCTCCTGCGGTTAAATTCCTCTTCCCATCTCCCTACCTGCCAGTTCCCACGATGCCCAACCTCCCGCGGTAAATTCCTCTTCCCGTCTCCCTACCTGCCAGTTCCGGCCGGTAAATTCCTCTTCCCGTCTCCCTACCTGCCAGTTCCGGCCTTGGAAGTCCCATGTCATGTGGTAAATTCGTCTCCCTTGGATCTCCCATCTCCTGCGGTAAATTCCTCTTCCCGTCTCCCTGCCTGCCAGTTCCCACCTTAGGTGTCCCATCTCCTGTGGTAAAATTCCTCTTCCCGTCTTCCTGCCTGCCAGTTCCCACCTGCTGTGGTAAATTCCTCTTCTCATCTCCCTACCTGCCACTTCCCACCTTGGATGCCCCACCTCCCGCGGTAAATCCTCTTCCCGTCTCCCTACCTGCCAGTTCCGGTCTTGGAAGTCCCATGTCATGTGGTAAATTCGTCTCCCTTGGATGTCCCATCTAATTCCTCTTCCCATCTCCCTATCTGCCAGTTCCCATCTTGGATGTCCCATCTGCTGTGGTAAATTCCTCTTCCCATCTCCCTACCTGGCAGTTCCGGCCTTGGATGTCCCATCTCCTGCGGTAAATTCCTCTTCCCATCTCCCTACCTGCCAGTTCCCACCTTAGATGTCCCATCTCCTGTGGTCGAATTCCTGTTCCCATCTCCCTACTTGGCAGTTCCCACCTCCTGTGGTACATGTTTCCTCCCTACCTGCCAGATCCGGCCTTGGAAGTCCCATTACGGCCTTGGAAGTCCCATTACGGCCTTGGAAGTCCCATGTCATGTGGTAAATTCCTCTTCGCATCTCCCTACCTGCCAGCTCCCACCTTGGATGTCCCATCTCCTGCGGTAAATTCCTCTTCCCGTCTCCCTATTTGCCAGTTCCCACCTTGGATGTCCCATCTCCTGTTGTTCCCTACCTGCCAGTTCCGCCTGCCAGTTCCCATCTTGGATCTGCCTGTGCTGGGGCTGACTTTCTGTTTGAAATTGTGTGTCACAGATGTTCAGACAGAAAAAATATGGCCAACGTTAGATGGCCCGCCTCCACAGCTAGCAACGTTGATGCTTCAGCCAGTAGCACTGCCCTCTCTTTGGCCCTCTCTTTGGCCCTCTCTTTGACTGGCTCTTTGACTGGCTCTTTGACTGGCTCTTTGACTGGCTCTTTGACTGGCTCTTGGACTTGCTCTTGGACTTGCTCTTGGACTTGCATTTGGACTTGCTCTTGGACTTGCTCTTGGACTTGCTCTTTGGCTGGCTCCGCATCTTTCTGAGGTTGGACCTAAGATCTGTCTGATCTGGACTCGCTAGGAGGTTTTTTTTCAGCAATGCGTTGCAACGCGGCATCGACTCGTTGATTTGGGCTACTTACGGCTACTCCCATGTACTTTCATGTGAAATCTGAAAGCATCTGAAAGCCAAGCAGCTGTGTCATCGCCTTGGCAGCTTTGGTTGTCTCCACCCTCTGTCCATTTGGCATCTTCTAGGCCTTCTAGGCCTTCCTCGCATTTACCTTCTTCGCCTTCATTTGGTGCACGCTTTCGCTTCCGACCTTTTCGTTTGGCTTTGACATCTGCTCTCGCTTTGACCTCTCCGACGCAAGGGTCCAATCCAAATGGTCCAGGGTGTGCTTCTGCCTCGGCACGTCCCACCTCCTCACCTTAGATGTCCCATCTCCTGTGGTAAAATTCCTCTTCCCATCTCCCTACCTGCCAGTTCCCACCTTGGATGTCCCATCTCCCGCGGTGTAAAGTCCCATGTCATGTGTAAATTGGCTCACTTATTCTCATGTCATCTGTCAAAAAAATGGAAAAATGCCTGCCCGTTAGGTCGGCGCATAACTCCCATGTCATGTGTAAAATAAAAACCCATAGCAAAATCGATACATAAATCCCATGTCATGTGCCAAAAAACATTGGCTAAATCGGCCGCAAAGTCCCGTGTCATCTGCGCCTAGTATACATACATACATACATACATACATACATACATACATACATACATACATACATACATACATACATACATACAATATATATATATATAATTTTAATTAATTATATATATATATAACATTACCTAAACATATATGTATATATAACGGACTATATTTATATATACATATGGAAGTTATATATATATATATACGTGTATGGTCAGCGGCTTGGCGCGGCAGCTTTGAGCGGCACAGGCCAAGAGCGGTATCGCGAAGGTGGCAGCTGCAGTGGCACAGCGTGGCTCCAAATGGGAGGAGTTCCAGTGGCTTCACACCCAGAATTCCATCAGAATTGGCTCAAGGGAGAATCTTCAGGAAATCCCAACTGTCTCATTCTAAATCTGTGATATGGAATGGGTGATGCCGTGATACCCATGGTTTCCTAATGTTTCCTATTTGGGAGCCGTCCGTAAAAGCAGGTCACAAATTTATGAATTGATGCGTTTACTTTGCTTTGCGCGATTGCTAAAACCTGCATCGCGATAGGCTGAGCGATTGGTTGGCGATTGGTTATACGGCTACCACCCTATTACTACTACTACTACTACTACTATTACTACTACTACTATTACTACTACTACTACTACTACTACTACTTTCGAGACCAGAACCATGCCAATAATTGACATGGCCGCGCGGAATCCGCGCGCGCGGAATCCGCGCAGATGTTTTCAGGTCAGAAGGACATTCAAGCTAGCTCCAATTGAAAACAGGTCGGAAACAGGTCAGAAACACCAAAAAGGCAGCACTTGCCTAGCATCCCATCCATCCATCCATCCATCCATCCATCCATCCATCCATCCACCTCAGCTCTTATCATTGCTACTTCTACTATTACTATTACTACTATTACTACTATTACTACTTCTACTCCTCCTCCTACTACTACTACTACTAGTAGCACTAGTACTAGTATTTGGGGCACTAGTAATGATATTACTTTGACGATCACTAAAATTGTTCCTAGTTTGACTGCCCGTGCTGATTTTTTTGAAGTTGAAGAAGACTCCGGGAAAGGTCAGAAACAGGTCAGAAACACCAAAAAGGCAACACTTGCCTAGCATCCATCCATCCATCCATCCATCCACCTCAGCTCTTATCATTGCTACTTCTACTATTACTATTACTACTATTGCTACTATTACTACTATTACTACTATTACTACTATTACTACTATTACTACTATTACTACTACTACTACTACTACTCGTACTACTTTTACTACTAGTACTGCTAGTACTACTACTACTACTACTACGACGACTAGTACTACTAGTACTACTAGTACTGCTAGTACTACTACTACTACTACGACGACTAGTACTACTAGTACTACTAGTACTACTAGTACTACTAGTACTACTAGTACTACTGCTGCTGGTACTACTGTGAGTTTTCCGGACCGTTTCCGGACCGCGCAAGCTTATTTTGCTCCCAAATTTGAAATCGAATGCGTTCACGCATGGATCCTCATTATATAATACATAACTTATATTTTATGTATATGATCTGATCAACGAAGAACAAACCCTTCCGCGATTGCTCACTGTGGTACCGCGGTTGCTACGCGATTGGCTGAGCGATTGAGGGCTGTCCGGGAAAAGGTATTTTGGACAACCCCCATTTGTAGATTTTCCCTTCAACCACTCCATTGATCCATGCGCCAAAGAAGGACCCTGAAGATTGCGAGCGCGCCCTTGCGGCAGCGCTGCCAGCCAAGAATCGTGATGAGGAGACACCATTCCAAGGGGTGCCGATCTTTAGACGAACCGTACCAGAGGGTCAATGGACCATCATGGACCATTAGACTTCGAAAAAAGGGGCAAAGCCAAGCTGGAGACTTGTGTCTTTTAAGCAACCACACCATTTAACCATACGGAACATACGAGAACAGCATGTGACATATATTTATGCTCCGCCATTGTCTGAGTCGAGTCATGGTCAATATCGACGCAACGCAGCAACGCACCGCCGTATGCAATTCCAGGAGGGAGTCAAGACCTGCATTGAAAAGCTGATGGGCCTCGTAGATGGGAAGGCGAAATGGTGTTCGAAATTTTCAGATTGTTCATGATTGTTCACAGTGCGCTGGTGTGGCTTGGCCGTCAACTATATAACTATGTAGTTTGGATATGTTTGGATAGTTTGGCTTGTTTCTATTGGTGTGAACTCGCAACAGCATCAACATGTCTCAAGCCTTCCCGCTCCATGGAGGCAGCGCAGGCATTGAAAGACTTTGGCCTGAAGAGAATTCGACCCTCGGCTGATTGGTGGGAAAAAAACGTGTCCACAACACTCCCCCGATCTCCCCCGCCTGGCTTCAAGTCATGATATTGAATGATATATATATAGATAGATAGATATTATATATGAATGCATATAAAGACACGACCCATACATGGCCCTATTGCATGCAATGCTCACCAAAGTATTTCCTCCAAGCACCAGCAGCAGTAGGGTTACATCGGTTGCATGACTTGGCAGAGCTGTTCCAGTGCTCTGGTCACACGGAAGCTGTTGGAGTCCTTGAAGCCAGGCCATTTGTCCTTCTACACGGGTTGCCCGGATGACTTCCCATGGGATCTATGAGCCAAGTGTGAAAGATCAAGAAAAAAAAGGCTGGCCAATGCTGGTTCTTCCTGCATCTTCCTGCCTATTTCCAGCAAAACCGCATCATGAATCATCATCTAATGATCCCTTGACCCTAATACAGTATTAAACGGCCCCTTAGAAAGACTGGTTTTGTGTTTATTGGCCCAGTATGAGGGGATTCAATGTTAGGGATGTTAGGGGGTTGGGGATAGAAGGATAGCGAGATGAAAAGGTAAGTTTCCACAAACATCAGATGGAGCCAGAGCAGACCCTTCCTGCGCGTTTCGTGCAGGCCTTTGATTTGGCCCCGTTGCTTCTTGGTGGTCCCATGTGCAGAGAAAGCTGGTACATGTGTACAGTCCTCCTTGTAAGTTGGCGGTAATTGCTTACGGACAGGGAGGTCGAGCAATACGGGATCTTTTGGAAATTACAGGTTGCCAGTTGAAATAAGACACTCATCATGTTTTCTATGATTTTGTGTTCGTTCAGTTAGTCAATATCATGTGTTTGTCATTTGTCATCATTTAATTCATGTTCTTTCCTGATTCAACAATAAAGATTCCGCATTTCTGACCTCCAGAAGGTAGATTCGAAACACGAGCGACCAGCTCCTAGTGACTTAGTGAAGACATGCGAAGACCGCGAAAGAGATCAACCGTGGTCAACAAAAAGCAACAGCACTGGCTTGTGCAGACGTCTTATCGCACAGGATTGCTTGAGCCCTTCCGAATCTAGAATTTGTGTGCAGCCGTGGGAGGCTGCACGCTTCTTGTCGGCAGTCGTCGACTGTGTGGTGGTACATGCTTGCACTGGACTTCAGGAGCAACGTTACTGGAGTCGCATCAGACTGTGTACTCAACATTACTCAACCTTTATTTCTTTGCCAAAAGATGTTTCCGATTCAGCTTCCCATGGTTTTTTCATGGTTTTTCTTTCCAATCCCTTTCCAGGACTTCCCGCGTTGGGCAGTGGCCAAAGCCTCAGGGTTTGAGAGACAAAGGGAGGACCCGGAGACCTGGAGGGTTGCTGATGGTTGCAGTTGAGGATAAAACCACGTCCCTACCTGGCGAGCCTGGCACGCAGAAAACCGTTTCAGAAAACCCCGAGGAAACCAGACAGACCTCGGACCGAGACCAGAAAACCGACCAGTTGGGTGAATGATGTGGCACTGGACGGCCATGGTTTTCATATGTGTTCATGTGTTCTTATGATGTGTTCGTATGTTTTTATATGTCTTTGGTAGTTAGTCATCAGGATCATCAGCTCCTTATGCGAAACAGTCCAAGACATCATGTGTCGGATGTGAGGCATGGGCTGCTGGGCTATATGGACAGGAATGAGACGAAAGACATCAGATGGGCCTTTGACTACTGGCACTGCTCTGAGAGGTGAGTTGAACAGTATGATATGGATAGCACACAGCTGTCGGCAAAGGCAAAGGCCTTAGTTTAATCTAGTGCGTTTGTGTGATGTGAATATATGTGAATAGTGTTGAAAAGTCCATGTTGGACATAGTTGGACATGGTTGCGCATGTACAAGGAGTGCAGGCAGGTGACCAGGCAGCTGGTAGTGTCAGAGAGTCATCTCCCTCCACGGCTCACGGCGGTTCCACGAGGCAGTCACGTGGTAAGGAGTTGTTCAAGGAGTTCGCCTCCCTTTACTACGGTGGGCTCCTGGAAGAACGGAGGATGTAAATCTCAGTGGGAATATTGTGGAATCTTGTGACAAGTGGACAGATTATGACATTGTTGTGTCATGATGTGTCATGTGATGAACTCAGAGCATCTCGGAGCTATGTTTTGATCGGGTGAGTCGATCAGACGCCATGCTCAGGTTATTTGCTGGCAATCATTGCCGACCAATTGAAGGCATTACGCGACAGCGCCCCTTCTGCATATGAGTCTGTCTGATAATGTCTGATAATATGGTACAGACATGTACATACCCCAAAGCCCCAAAGCACCATTTTCATCCATTTTCTTGATTTGAAATCCCTTTTCGGGCATGCCCCATTTTCAGACATATGTGGAGACCCCATTTTGGGAGGACCTCGACAGCAATCGCGAGTCTGTTTCAGGGCCTGGGCTCAAGCAAAAAGATCTTAGAGGCGAACCAGATCTGTTTCAAGTGAATCCTCGAATTTCTTCACCTGTTGGTGTTTGAGAATCGGCTACCCCAAATTTGATGATTATTTTATAGTAGAATAGAATCCTAATTTCTGGGGTTGCCCCCCATTTTCAACCACACCCATATCAGCAACCTAAGCAGCACAGTTTTTATCCTCCGGAGACATGCTCTTTGCCCCTTGCCATGGCGGACGCGAAGTTGCCAGCAGATTTACGTCACCTCACAGATCCTCATCACCCATCGATGGCCAACTGAAGCGTCGCGGTAGTGCGAGGGACATGCGGAGCTCATGGTACCCGATCAGGTTCATTTGATCAATTCGCATTGGTACCCTGGTGCCAACCATGGGTACCCAATCTCAACAAGCGATGGCCGTGAGACCATGGCAAGACGTGAGGCGCATGGTGAAAATGAAGGGAGTCAGCTGAATTTGCTTAAAGCTGCCCTGATGTCAATTTTTTGTCTGGCTTCTAGAGCTTTGCGGCAAGATCATGGGCCAAGGTGTGCAAAAACCGTTTAGACCAAGTTAGGCTCCAACATTTGAAAAAAGTGTGGCGAGAGGCGGGTGCCTTCAAGCCAGGTTCGCCCAGGCTGCCTGGACCCTCAGAAATCTCGCCTTGGTTTGCTTTGCGATATGTCATGGTCATGTCGGGAAAGCCAATGCCGTAAACCCCATTGGGATCTATTGGGGATAGTTTAATATAGTTTATAGATGTTTATAGCAGCCATAAAAATGGTGATGTTGGGGATGGTTGTTCCATGTCGTTCCATGTTCCCTTCATTTCCACGTGGCTTTTCCGACTTCAGCATTTCAGAAGATCTGGGCCCAGGACTATTACGGTGGTGAGCGACACGAACCTTGTGCCGTTGCTGGCGATGTATGGCTTGAAGCGTGCCTCTTCCAGGTGCCCCCACGACACACAAATAATTGGAAAATATAGCTCAAGATATGTCAGATATGTGTGTATGTTCAGCTCATGGACGCCAAAATTAAACATTTGGAAATAGTGCAATTGCGAATGTGTTGGAAGTATTCTTGTTTCCCCATGCCTCTTTCCGTTCGTGCCAGTCAACGATAGGGAGAGGTCAGGCCATGTCTTAAGGAAGAATAGTAAAGCATTGTTCTTTCACAATTTCAGATTCAGATGAGTTCAGGCTGTTCAGATGCTGAAATATCATGAAATATCCAGGAGACCGCCTTACTTGTCGGCATTGATCCATGAGTTGCCGCTTGGATTGAGTAACGAGGCGTCCAAGAGCTCCCTGTGTGGCTGTTCATCACCATATAGTGTGTCTATTGGGGATCTAAGGTATCAACACCGGAACGGCTCAATGTTCGTGCGCGTTTGGGAACCTAGCGAAGCCGGGTCAGGGACATGTCACGGCATGATCTTCAAAGCTGGGAGGCTCAGGTGTTCGACTCACAGTGCCCGCCCAGGTTCTTTACAATGGCCGTGTGCAGAAAGTTGGCGACTTATCCGTTCTTGTGTGTGCAATGGCTTACACACAATACATCACAATATTGTGTTTCGCTTCCAGGTTTGTCATGGCCGCTTTCCACTGTGCCCATTGCAGGAGCTGCTTGGCCCGACTTTTCTGTTTTACAGCATTTGCAAACACACAATATCACACAATGATGTTCCAAGGCAAAATAGTTAAATGTGATGGTTGTCCAACTTCATTTATCTTCATGTGTCAGAAACTCTTACTGCACTGCTGGTAATTTCTTGATATTTCTTGTATCCCTGTAGCTGCAGAATCTCGCGGCCGAGGTGGGATGCCTTGGTGGAGAGTTTTACCCCATCCAACGAGCCAGAGAACCTAGCGGGATATCTTGGGATCCATCGGAGTGTCTTGTGGTATATTGTGTGCCACCTCCGATATCCATGGACCATCCGTTGAACTAGGTAAGTTGTTTTTAAAGCACACAAATGTCCTGGAATGTCCTGGACAGAAAGTCTCCTATGCGGAAAGTATGATTGATATCTCTGGGAGGGAGTTCGGTAGTAAGTTGTGACACCTGCTTGGGATTAGAATCTGAATTGCTTTCAGGTTTTCTCCTTGACTTTTTTTTCTGCATGGTTCTGTTGGAGAAGAAGACGCAGTGGCTTCCATGCAATCTTAGGTTCTTAAACGTAAACCATTTACTCCAGTTCACTCCGAAGGTTTATGTTCACATGGGCCATGGACATGAAATTATCGCTTTGGCTGCGCAACCTGCTGAACCAAAACATGCAAAGTGCGTAAACGCGGATAAAAGAAAAAAACGGGATGCCAGGAACCATTCACCAATGCAACAAGAGGTCCTGAAATGAAATCTCCAACTAATTCTGTGGATTTGTCTTCACAAGGGCCATACATATGAACTTAGACCCGCCATTCCGGCAAAATCCTCTGAACAAAAATGAAGAAACCAATTTGAATTATTACTCCGAAACGGTTGAGTTTTACACAAGGTTCTGAAATGATTTCTCCCAACTCATTCTGTGGATTTGTCTTCATAAGGGCCATAGATATGAACTTAGACCCGGAAAGGGTTGAATTTTACACAAGGTTCTGAAATGATATCTCCCATCTCGTTCTGTGGTTTTGTCTTCACAAGGGCCATAGATATGAACTTAGACCCGCCATTCCTGCAAAATCCTCTGAACAAAAATGAAGAAGACAATTTAATTTAGTATTCGGAAACGGTTGAGTTTTACACAAGGTTCTGAAATGATATCTCCCAACTCATTCTGTGGTTTTATCTTCACAAGGGCCATAGATATGAACTTAGACCCCCCAATCCTGCAAAATCCCTGAACCAAAATGAAAAAAACAATTTGATTTATCAACCGAAAGGTGTTGGGTGCCAGAAAGTTCTTTTTAAAGCATATTGAAATTTATTTAAAACTATATGAAATATTGCCGAAAATTGGATTACGACGCTTTCCCCTGATAATTACATCAGAACCTGAAGTACTAATCAAAAAATCAAATGATCGCCAGGGACGCAAATAATAAACAGTCCACATCCAATCAGTTTTTAGATGTTTTTAGTATTAGGATGAACCTCTCAAATGGGATCTTGATCCGTAAAATTGTTTTCCAAAGGCGATCAGTTAAAGATCAAACTGACCAACCTGAAATGTCCCGAAAATGGCCATCTGGATCTATTTTTATTACTCGGGGGGTTTAGAAATAGGAAAAGGGGGGTTAGCATGGGAGCAAAGAAAACAGGCGAACAATTGAGCCTGTGAGATGTGGGTTTTGCTTGGATGCAGTTTTTGATGTGTTTTTTTGACAACAGAAAGGCTCCAAAATGAAGGGGTTCTAGGATCATAAGCTTGATTTCCGAAGATTTGATTCCAGAACCCTCCCAAAAGAAGCTGCCAAAGGTCAAAAATAGCATTTCGTTGATCCCCAGACGCCCCCTGGGAAAATCATTTCAGACACCTTTTTGGTGGTCTAAAATCTTCCTCAAGGGTCCGTGCTCGTACTTGAGGGTATGATATTGCATGATATTGCTGATATTTACTCAGACAGATGATAGCACAGTGTGGGGCAGTACCATGTGGCCAGAGTCCTTTGGCTGGTCGCTTTAAAGCAGCCAGCTTCCAGGATGCCCACTGCTGGGTTCGGTTTGCAGGTGTCATTTCACTTCCCCACAAGTTTGCCTAGGTCCTGCCCTGTGCTTTACGAAGCCTACGACTTCAGGCTACCAAGGCCGGAGTAATGTGTCAGATTGCCATCGCCGCTTCGGCAACTTGACAGGTTTTTCAACATAAAGCATACGCGTTTCAAAAGGTTTGATGATGTGGATTTATCATCGGTAACGACATTTAAATATGTGGAGGGCGGGCCAGACCGCGAGGCCCCGGAGGTAGTATGAAATACCAGTTCGTATATGTAATTAAATGTAGTTACTGTATGTTTAAATGAATTGGATTCCGTATGTTTAAATGGCCAGGCAGGCCAAGGAAAACCTTCCCGGAGGTAGTCTAAAATGCCTGTTCGTATATTTAAAAGCCCGTAATGTAGTTACCGTAGTGTATCATGGTTTATCCGAAGATAGGGTACCCAAAATATCCCAAAATGCAGTGGTTTATCATCATGTCCCCAAGCAACTACCCTACTGATCCCTGCTGTAGTTTCAGATCCATGTTGGATCTGAATGTCTCAACGTACAACTGTGGCCGTGGCAACACAGTCGTGAAGCTTGTTTTAGGAACCATTTGGCACCTGATCGACCTTGGCAACCACCAATGACACCGGAGGGGGCACTCAGTTTACTTTGGGATGCACAGAGTGACTGCTTGCTTTGCTTGATTTTAGGCCTGGAGCAAGAACATCCTTAGCACTGCCTTTGCAGGGACCTAAGAAAGTGAGTAGCATCGGGGATGCTGAAGGTTTTGTTCCATGGGTGCATTTTCCGGTATAACATAGCTATAGAAACCACGCCTTTAGCTCTGCTGAACTCATTGAGAAGGCGAGGGGGAGAGAGAGAGAGAGAGTGAAGAAACCAAGGCCCATTTATTTCGATGTCCACGGCAAGCAGATAGGTTAATTGTCCAGTATTTGCGTAGCCCATATCTTCACGCAATTCCAAGGTGCTTCCAGCTTCCCTGGGCACACTTTGCTGCTTTTGCTTAGGCTGGTCCTGTAGGACCCCTAGAGCTCTGGGGGAAGAGGGTTGGTGCCTTTGGTTGCAACCCGCTGTGGTGGAAAAGCCGAGGCTGCCGAAGAAGACGGCTCTGGCATAGCGGCTCGAGGTTTGCGGAAGACCTGTCGGCTCAGCTGTGCCCAGAAGGATGCATAGATAGTCACAGCGTTATCGGAGAGGACGACCATAAATTTGCACATGAAAAACAAACATGCAAAAAAATGATCTCATATGATATATAGTGTTCTCTCCATGCGCAGAGTACGTTACATAGTACATAGAATATCATAGAATCACAGAGATATACATAGTACATAGAACATAGATATACATATATAGTACCTATCACATAGATATACCTTTACATAGTACAGAGTGCAGAGTACATAGCACATACAAATGTAAAGATAGATGCATATGTCAATGTATGTGTGTGGTCACGCGCGCGTGTGTATGTGTGTGCGCGCGCACCGATTTGTATACATGCCAGGTCCTTCGATGATGAGGCTGGGAACGAGGGCGACCGAAGTTTGCACTGTCACGAGTCGTAGCATAAATCGATATACTGTAAATCGTTCTACCTGTCCTTCGATCCATCCATATCTCCATCTACAGCTCTGGCTCTATCTCCATCTCTAATCATCTAGATGTCTATGTGTTTATGCAGCGGCTGGTTTTCCATTTGTTATTCTCCCAGTTGGGGCTATCCACCCTTCCATCCATCAATGTCGATGTCCATTTGCATCCATCTCCTAGCTGCCTCCATAAAAATCCATCTCTGCATTTGGCCTTCCATCCTTTGTCCGTTTGTGTGTGCGCGGGCTTGCGGCCAAACCGACTGACAATCGCAGGAGGGCTTCCGAGAAGCTTTGATGACATGAACGCGAGCGCCAAAAGATGCAGCCATTCTTTCCAGTTATTACTGACAGGATCGGATCAGGTGCACATTTTGAAGGGAGCCCATTTGCAACCACATAGGCCATAGGTGGCAAGATACTGTTCCACGGACGTGATTCCCACAGATAGAAAACTGTTTAGGAAGGCTGGTTTTGAAACCACCGTTCTGTAAAGTGTATTTGTCTATGTATATCTATATATATGTATATATATATATATAGATGAGTTTCTTTCTCTTGCTGCCTTTTCTTGGAACTTGCTTGGCATTACCAGCTTTGGGCTCAGCCTCCGACTCCTGAAGGGATGGGAGGCAAAGGAAAGGGCAAAAAAGGAGGAGGCCTCTTGGCTTGCAGATTATTTCAATGGGCAACTGGGTTTAATTCATGGTACCCTGTCCCGCGGCTGCTTCTTGAGCATTTCAGTTGGGTCAGTCCGGACGTCAGGTGGAGATGGGATAGGACAACCACTGCCCCCATGGATGAAGAAAGGGGGCAAGAAAGGCCTGGCAGGGGGGGGTCAAAGATGGCTAGGAACACAAACGTAGATGGAGGTTTTAAAGTGGTGAGGCTGTGAGGTGTCCATTGCCATGTTTGATTGCTGGAACTTAGTGACAAGAGTAATGATGTCCTTTTGTTCGTGCCTTCTTTCCCAGCTGATGCAGATTGCTGGCAGGTGGAGGGAAAGGTGGTGGTGGCAAAGGAGGTGGTGGTGGTGGTGGCGGCATGGGGATGGGCATGGGAATGCCCGGCATGGGGATGGGGATGGGAATGCCCGGCATGGGGATGGGAATGCCCGGCATGGGTATGGGCATGGGCATGCCTGGAGGCATGTCTGCAAGAAGCTGCTGTGTGCGGTGAAAGTGTCATGCGGACATGAACCTGTTCAGTAAATTTGACCTGTTGCCTATCCTAATGAATCTGAATGAAACGGTTGCTGCGGAGTCCAATGCTCTTTTTGGATCTTATGATGTCCTGAGGAATGTCGCCCTTTGGAATGCAGCAACTGGCTGCAATGGCACAGGGTGTGACAATAAGTTTCGCTTGTTGCCTTGAAGTCCTCAAGATTTGTTTTTTTTACTGGAAGGGTGTGCCCCCCCCAGTGCCATGTTTGAAAAATGTTGTAAAATAACTAACAACTATCAGATTAAATGAGAAATATGTGATGATAAACCACACACCTGTGATGGCTTCGGTTTGCCCATGCCTCCAAGGATGCCGTTCAATATGCAGATGCCGTATATGGGCGGCTTGGCTCAGATCATAAGTGATGGAAATCGCACGGAAAAGGCCGCATTTGGATGACACAAGGATTGTATGACTGTAATATACTGTAATGATTGTAATGGTGGGGAAGACACCAAAAAAAAATAGACATGGTTAAAAAACACTTTCCCATACTTGGAAGGCGATGGAGAGAGAGACTTTCCGGCCAGAAGGGTGGTATGGTATACGCCGGTTTCACCCATTTGGAAAGGCCTATGGCCAGTGGTTTTGGATCTTGAAGGGCAGCTTTTATTCAATTGGCAACGATTGGCTGAGGAGGGATGCCGGGATCAATGCCAATGATGAACAACATGGGCATGATGAATCCCATGGGGCAGATGAATCCCATGGGGCAGATGGGGCAGTTCGGGCAGATGCCGGGTATGCCCAACATGCCACAGGCTGCGTCGATCAAACCAGGTCAGTGCTGTTCATTTTGAACGTCAACCCGGTATCAGCAAGCTCCAGTTTACCACAAGTACCCACCCACACGCCCCGACTGTAAATGGTACCCCCCAGAAGTTAGCAAACAAACTTAAAGAAATTAAGACTATTGGCTCCCCCAATATCACGTGACTTAATGATGAAGCTGTGTGTTCCTCAAATTTTGATGAAGATGCGACCACCGCAGCGTCAGGGTATGCCTGGCATGCCCGGCATGCCCGGCGGCACGCCTATGGGGCCTATGGGCGGCAACCAAGGGATGCCTCAGCCACTTTGCTCAGATCATTGTACGAGGAATGTGAGTGAGGACATATTATGATTGTGATTACACACACATATACGTATATATAATATCAAATATATATATGTACAGAGCTATTATATATATAATATACATGTGTGTAATTGCATATATATATATATCTGTGTGTGTGTGTTTGTGTGTGTGATGTGTAAATTATATGTCATTTATTTAGCTATTTGTGCGTGAGTATGGATGTACATGTAGCTTCACCAACTCATCATCTCTTGATGCTACCAAGGTTTGGCGCTGGAGATGCTACTCCTACTGGTGCGCAGCGGATGCTCGGGTGCATAGGGAAATGCGTTGTTGTTCCTTTGCATGGATAGCATGAGTGTGTGCTCAAAGGTGTTTTACGTGTTGGGATATAGATATCCAATATTTAGATAGGAATGGATAGGATATGTTTCTTTAGCTGCACTTGTTTGATGTTTGCTTTTCACCTCGGAGGATAATCACCCGTGGTCCAAGCAAAGATCCTACGTCTATGGCTTCGTCAGAAGCTGGGCAGGACCTTTTGCAATCACCTGGTGCCAGCCCAGTTTCCTGGCTTCTCAAGTCCTAAACTTTAATGAAATGCAGATGAACCCCCTTCAGATTGCAAAAAGTTTCTGTTTTGCCAAGTTCCTAGGGAATGTTGCGTCGGGTTTGAAATATCCAGCCATTCACTTCAGCCCAGTATTTGCCATCAGCTGAGGCACACCTAGCGCAGTTGATGTCAAAGGAGAGTGGTCTTGGGCTCGGCGTGAGCCCAATAAAGGAGCCAAAACATCGCAAGACATGGCAAGACTATTTGATGTCAACTCATTAGTACACTTTTCTCAATCTAAACCTTGGCAAGGAGAACAAAGAGCTTCCACCACTGCCACCTCCTTTGGCCGATGGAACGCGGCAGGTGCTGGTGACCATTCCGAGGCTCGGCAGGATGCATGGGAGATGAGAGTCGGGAGTTGCGTGTGTTGCTTGAGGAAAAAATGCATATTGAATATATTTGAATATTGCATAGCGCGGCAGTATAACTGACCCAGAAGTCGGTGTTTCTCCAGCAAATGGACAGAAGCCGAACATGCAGTGGGGAACATGTTGGAATCATTTTGGGGCGGTCAACTTAGAGGCAATGGACAACTTGAAATCTCCTTAAATGAGTCGAGTCCTGTTGCCTTCTGCCCACGTACATTTTCCAGCAGGCCACTGACAGCATCATCGGAAGGGTTTGATGATGATGATTCTGTCATGCCCTCAGTTTCAGCCGCAAAAATTGATGGCCAGACTAGGCATGAGCAGAGAAAAACCGGGGAATTGCCTTGCGAACCCAGAAGCTATAAACCCGCAACTACGGGGGGAACCAATTTTAATAGTCATTTATCACTGCGTTGGGGCCCATAGTCAAGGTTTATTCGTCCGAGGTTGACTAGGCAGAACGTCTTCTGCCTAGGTGAAGATTCCAGAGTTTGGAGTTACTATCGACCTGCCAAATTGGTACAAAGAGGCGCTTTGCTGGGCGCCAACCATTTGAAATACCACAGCTATAGAAAAAAAACAATCGCTAGATAATCCAATGATATGACCGAATCTGACCCATGAAAATGACCAATTACTATGGATTAGTTATCATATATTATCATGTTACATATTATATATATTTATATATAATCATATATATATAAGTTATATAACTCGGTGTGTATCACAAACTTACTAAAGCTGGTGGAACCACCATGGCTTCCACGAGTTTTGTGCCGCGCGCCAGGCGCAAGAAGAGTTATCAAAGCCAGGACCTGCCTGGCCTCCACAGGTGGCTTCAACTTCTTGCGGCATAGAACATGTAACGAAGGATATACATAGATTCTATAGATATATCATGATATCTATATACAGAGAGAGAGAGAGAACTGTATATATAAAATATATATATATGATATGTGTATATATATATATAATCAATTATAATCATGTATATGATGTGTGCTCATATATGCGTATATTTTTGCAGATATGCCATGTATGCGATGTGCCTGATTGTTATGTCAGTTGTTCGATGTCTTGTGGTGCCTGAGAGGCTGTTATTGACACGAGCGATGTGGTGGATATAGAGGGCGGGCAGCGTGGCAGCGATTGGTCCCCAACAACTAACCCTTGGAAAATTTGGAAATCAAACATGGCAATAGACGCTTCCTCATTTGTAGCTGATTTCCCTTTTCCCCTATGTGTATATATAGATATATAGTTGATATAAACAGTGTGTGTGGACCTATTTTTTAAGGATGTTCAATTGCCATGTGTGACTACCAGATGGTATTTCCCGTACCTATCTCCGGCATCCGAAGGCCAAGAAGAGCCGCAGATGTGATCTGAGTTTGAAAATATAGTAATACAACATCTTGAAACTAATGTAAGAGACAATATGACGATATGTGCATGATTTTATTTTTAGGTACCTGCTACGTAAAACTATTGAAAACTGAAAAATGGAAAAGATCAAGTCTCAGCACGCTGCCCCGCTTCATTTTAATGAGCTCAATGCTTCCAACAGTCTCCCCTTTTGACCTTTACTATAGCCAGTCAAGGCCAAGTTCCTCGTTTCTTGGACGTCGGGCTAGCAAAGCCAGCGCAGAAACCAAGACCAGCATAGCCATTTGGCCAGATGATATTGGGACGGTGTGTAGCCGAGGTATGCATGTATATACCTATCTTATGGGCTTGTGATGTCTCCAGCCTTCTTCTGGGTGGAGATGTTTTAATCCCCGTGAAAAGATAAGTACTGTATGTTGTGAATTGTTATGATGGAATGGGTAATGAGTTGAAAATAATTGAAACAATGAGAACAAATCGTATCAAATGATGAGGGATGTGTACTTGACCCATTCATAGTTGACAACGTTGCCTGCCTTGCTGGCTGTTGATTTCAGCTCGCATTTTGTTGACTTAGGAAGTGGAGGTCGAAGACTCTGGTGGAAAACTGCAGGCCATTTCACTCAGAGTGAGCAGTCAGACGACCTGTACTACCATATTTCTATATACTGGGATGAACATCCAAACATCCCACTTTTGGTGTTCATCATGCTATGATTGGACAATATTGGATATGACTTGACCCGGCATATCGGATATGACTGGAAATAAACTTCTCCCGTCGCAGCCGGGGAAGACAGGCGGCTATGCTGGCTCGACGTCGAGCGATGGCAGAAGGTGGTATAGAGGAAGAAAAGGAAGAAAAGGCCATGGAATGCACTGGTTTGGACATCAACAGGACACGAAGATACGACGAGAAGAAGCCGAGTGTTAGGTCATGTTAGCTCGGTTGTGCGTATCCACGTGGGACATGGAATGACATGGAATGACATGGATACATAGTGCTGCTGCACATTGACAAGAGTGAGTCAGCTGGAGTGAGACTGTGCCAGCAGGTCTCCATCTTCAAACGATCCAAGCCTTCAGCTGAGAATGGCTGAGGAAGTTGGAATGCTTTGGCATGAAATGAATGTCTTTTCCACCATTTGATGGTGCGCTGAATACAGTAGCCGTGAATCAGCATTCTCCACCATTCGTTAAACCGTGCACATTTAAAATTGAACAAACCCGCCGGCAGGGAGCACTCCCAAGCATCCGGAACCATGTTTCTGCTGGTTGATCCTGTGTCTCAGGTTCTTTCCATACATTGTTGCGATACTATTCACACACTATGTCTACAAGCAACCTGACGGCATGCTTTGGCAGTTTGCACATCTCTTGGAGCGTTGGTGCTATCCACTATTGGATCTATTGGTGTTCTGCCAAGGAGTGGATTGAAGACCATTAGAGAGTGGGCCAGCAAAATGCAAACGCACTTTGAGGCCAACCTGGGCATTTTCATGCATTTTCACTGTCTTACTGGTGCAGCTGCATTCAGCGTTACAAGATTGCTTCTTAGGCACCCCGCTTTGAAGCACAAATTAAAAAAGTCGGGGAAAATCCTGAGGACACGTGCCAGATGCAGATGCGAGCCTCAGCTTAGTCTCAATTATATTGGGAGGGCCACTGTTGGAGGCTTGCATGGCCTGACGCCTCAGGAAACTGTATCTCCTGGCTTTCACGGGCTCTCCGCACGTTTGCGCGCACTCTGACCATGGACAGCCACGCAGGCTGCGGGGAGGAGCTTGGTTTTGGCAGATACTGCTTTCAAGCGCCGCATAGTGTAGACTTAGCATTTATGAGCGCTTCAGGCTTGGACTTGGCACCCGCACGAGCAGGGAATTTCAAATTCTTCGAAGTAGGTGGGTGGCCACAGCGGTGTCATTGCAAGAGGAGTGGATTAGGCTCAGAAGTCCGGGATCACTGAACACTTGCGTGGTTTGTGCAAAACCCCCGACAAGGGTTGACTTGCCAGCTTGAAAGTAGAGAGATATGGCAGAAATATAAACACACATAGTGCCCCGCGTCAAATTTCCACAGCTTTATATTTATCATCGTGTCCCTCCTTAATAGATATCAAAACAGATTCAAATACCCTCTGGTGAACTAACATAGCTATGGAAAATCACCATTTTTAATGGGTAAATCCACTATAAATTGTCATTTTCAATAGCTATGTTAAATTACCAGAGGGTACATTGATTATGTGACTTTTCTTTTGGGATCTCTATAATGATCAATTTCACGAGAGCCAAGGCTCGGACCTCACTGCTCGACAGCGTGGCATCCTGAGATGCCATGGTTCACCATCCCCAAAAATTAGTAAAAATGACAAGTATTTTCTACGCATACCTCTTGTCTAGATGATTTATAAATACAATATAATATTCATATATATATTATACACGTCTATAAATATATATATATATACACATTGGACATGCCTTTATTTATTGATTTATGACATATAGCCCCCCCAAAATACTTGGTTGCTGGGATATTTCTTCTGCTTAGCCGACCCTTAGACCTGAGGTCTCGCCATCCGGGCCTACGTATTGTTTGATATTCTTCTCACCGGCATTGAAGTACCGCCTCAGCCGTTCCCTGCTGGTCGCAAGAATTAGGTCATTTTGTGTGTCGAAGTTGGGCCGGGAAGTGTTGGAATATGTTGGAATATGTTAGAATTGAATGGAAAAAAACAAAGAAAATCACTGATTGGATTGGATTTGATGTGTTTTTTTATGTTTTTTTTAAATCGTCCAGGGAAGCCCCGGCAGATGACTTGGACCATTTGGACCCCGACTTGGTTCAACTCCCTGAGGCTTACCCGGTTTCTGAGCCGTCTTGCTCAGCCAGAGGGGATCATGCTTTACGTTCCTTGCATCAAATTGGGGCAAAGAGGCGTTCATAAAGGCACTTGAGAGATCTTGAGAGTGGAGATCATTTCTTGTCATAATAAGTGCGCACCTTGATGCACCTTGACTCATTCCGTGCTTTGGCCCAGTGGCACCAGGTGCCGAAGACATATTTTACAGACTCCGAACGGGCCGAGCTTCAATACGACACCAGGCGCGGCAGCGACAGCCTCTTGGAGTTTGTGATAGTTTGTGATTCTTTCCGAGCAAGTTGGAGTTGAAAGGTCGAAAGGGCTTGCCCTATGCAAAAGTGTAGGGAAGTTCTTGAATGCAGTTTGATGCACCGTTGATTCTGGTTCTGCATAGGGGCGGCATTTATTCTCAACCTCAGTCGAGACAGCATCAGCAGCTGGTGGCTGGTTTTCTCATTCCGAGATGCTTGGCAGAGTAACCCTTTTCAATCCTTTTCAAATAATCAATACATTAATATATATATTAAATCGATATATTTATATTATCTATATACAAGAACTATAGAACTATACAGACATACACATAAAATGCAATGTGATTATGTGCAAAGAATGGGAGGCAACTCTCACAGAGCACCACAAGCAGAGCAAAATGTTCTCTTGTCATTATGTGGAAGACCATGACAAGTAAGACCAGGCAAACCGTAGTTTTGTCCACTAGCATTTGGTTCTAAAATTATTATACTATGTTACTATGTGTACCCCCGAAAAATGGCAATCACTTCCTGCGAAGATGATAAAACATGATAAGACCATATAGTATTTTGAGGGTCAACATGGGCCCATTTAAAAATTTACCTACCCTCTGGTAATTTAACATAGCTATTGAAAATGACCATTTATAGTGGATTTTCCCATTGAAAATGATGGTTTTCCATAGCTATGTTAGTTTACCAGAGGGTAATCCATTTTCAGACAAACCCATTGTGTTTCATTGCCGAGGAGCACTGCTTGGCGGCCTCTTTGCCAGCTGGGTTCGCACGCTCGAAAGCGACGCCAGCGTGGGTGCCGAACGGGGCAAAAGGCGACCGCCAGAGGTTTCTTCAGTCACGGGTCGTCACGGGGGATCCCCAAGTCACCTAAGTCACCATGGGTTTCAGATGGTTTCAGTCGAAAATGGTTGAATTCTGGATGATTTGATGACATGTTGAATCATTGAATCATATTGAATCCAAAGTTTGTTTTCTAGTCTCCGACTGGCAGTTTTTCATACCGTTCCTGAGAATCTGTTGTTCCCATTGAAGATGCAAAATCCTGAGTGGTACTGCAATTGACGGCCTGAGCTGTCTGGCATCCGTGCATCCCGCCGCAGAAATCTCCAGACACTGGGTGCCCTGATACACCTCGGCTGCCAGAAGAAGTACGAGTCATGTTTGCAACGAGCTGTGTGAAATCCGGGGTGTTGCTCCAAGCTAATTGGGATGGGGGTCGTGTTCGGATGTGTTTGGATGTGTTCGGATGTGTTCGGTCGTGTTTCTCGCCAACCGTTTGTACGTTGTGTGACTTTTGCCCTTGACATGTTTTTGATTGGCAATAACATATCATAAATTGCACCCCAAAAAAATACTTAAACTGCCCATGAATATCCATTAATCATAGTAATTACATGTAATTACATGTAATTGCCATAATGATATATAATTAATAGAATGTATAATGGCAATTATACAATGGTATTACATGTAATTGCCATTATAATGGTATATATGATATTGCCTTTTGTAGTATATGATATATAGTATATTGCCATATAGTTGTCATAATGGTATATATTATATTGCTAGTATATTAATGGTATATACCATTATAAACTATATATAATGGCATATATGATGGCAATATAATATACTAGCAATCATATATGGTATATTATACTATATTAATGGTATATTATATTAATGGTAGTGATATATAATGGCAATTAATGGCACCCCCATTAAAAACCTGCCGCTGGGCGTCTCAGGAGCTGATCTCCAGCGTTCATGACATCCCTGGCCTGTCCAGTGCCACCAGCGATCGCCTCACCCAGTATGCCTGGCTTGTTTCGGCGCTAAACGTGCGAAGGTTTCGTCAGTTTCGTCCAAAAAGCATGGCTAAAAGTTTGAAGATACCTCTAAAATCCATGAAAATCCGCTGCTGAATGATCATTTGTATTCATTTGTCCTATGAAAATCTTACTTTTGGATACTTTTGGCATCAAACGTGGTATCACATCCTAGCCACAGCTGTATTTTCTGGATATTTGTTGTTTGTTGCTGTAACACATGGCAACGCATTGCAACATTGGGGTTGGATTGAAGCCTGTTGACCTATCTTGGTTTTACTGGCTGTCAGATTGAGACACAGAAACCTGTGAACGAAAGCAGCCTTGTTTGCCACCAAACGGCTACAATCCGCATCACTAAGAGCAAAGTGCAAGACTGGGCATCAAGGAGGAATCTAAAAAGTAAGGCAAGCAGATGCAAGCATCTTGAAACTCAAGGCTTCGTGAGCACCCATATCCAATATATCCAATATATGTTATCCAGTCAAGACAGTAGCAGCGGCAGGTTTGGTCTGGACAAGAGGCTGGTCTTTGAGGTTAGCGTTGCTTGTCTATATTAATCATAGGTAACCAGGGTGCTCCCCTCCGGTTTTTTCAAACATGGCAATGGGAAACCCCTTAAATGATCTGAAAAATGGGTGCATGGGAAATTCCATGGAAATGACCATTGTAAATGGTGGATGTTCCGTTGCCATGTTTGATTCCAGCTGGGAAACCGAGGAGTTGATTGAGAAGCTGGTGGTGTTCTTTACTCAGCCTGATGTTTCTTGGTTCGCAACCGGGAAGAATTGGATCTTGAAGCCGATCTTGTGCATTCTCTTGCTAGCTTGGCTGAATTGGATGAAATTGATTTAAATTCTCTGAGTTTCGGAAGTTCCACAGTACAAAGCCAGACCTCGTCTACCTGACTGCCCCCACCAGCTTGACTTTCTGCTGAAACATTCTGCTCCTGAGGCGCAAGTTTCCATGGTTGAACGGGTGGAATCCAATCCGTTTGTTGCTGGCAATATCACCGTGGCCCCTCGTGATCGGCAGGGTGAAGGCAAGGCGGAAGTGCAAGAAATGCATGAAAATGTTGGATGAGTATATAATAATATAATCATCATAGATCATGAAAAACAGTTTTCACTAGTAATGCTTACTGCAGAAATGTGAATTATAGATAGATGGGCTGCTCATGGTTGAGCCTGGAGGTGCTGAGCCAGCCGTCACGACAGACGATACTCCGACTTTGGCGCCCAGCACCAAGCCAGGACCTTGATAATCCCACTGGTTTGGGCTTTCATTTGGTTATCCATGGTTCTCCCATCCAGTGTAGTTCATCATCATGTTCCCATCTATTCCCTATCAAAGATGACATGAAAGCTTAATCATCATAATCCAGTGGCTTTAAGTCCAGGGTTTTGGCATGTTTTGGCCAGGCAGTTCTAGGTGTCGGATGTTTCTTGTTCAGATTCCACGGGTTCCAACTGAAAGTTTCAGCTTTCGGGTTGCGCATGGTATTCCAAGTGCAGATCGTCCACGGTCCTGTGATGTGCCGTTGGATTTTATTGCCCGTTCAAACACATATAATTACCCCCTGGTTATTTAACAGCCATGGGAAATCACCATTTTAATAGGTAAACCATCTATAAATGGACCATTTTCCATGGCTATGTTAAATAACCAGAGGGTATATATAACTATATATATATATAAAAATGGTGACAGTGGTTTGGCCGAGGCGGAAAACGATTGCCTGCAACTCAGAACATGTCATCAGCTGATGGATCCAAGTGGGCCCCAGCATTTGTGCCAAGAGGAACTGAGGAACCGTTGCACTTTTGGGCAAGCTGAATGGTGCCTCATGGCTGCCATGCCCGCAGGTCGACCGGATCCGCGAAATGACTCCAGCGTTCTCTGGCGAAGCGTCTAGTACGCAGCGCGGGGGACGCTTCAGGAGCGGATTCAGGGGATGTGTACGGCGTAGTACGACGTATTCCATGGCATGGGACAGGATTTTCGTTGAGCCTGAGCAGTAGATGGAAAGGTGGCACATAGTGTTATTAGTATTGAAGACTTGCGTTTCTGCCAAATCTTTTGCTGCGCATGAGCAGGCAGTCCGTGGTGGCTGGTCGCTCAAGGATGGCACATCAAGTCCCCAGACCGCAAACAAAGAGTTCTTCCTAGAACAGGTTGTAAATATGCCAGATTACCGTGCTGTATATAAAGGGAAGCAACCTCAAAGACTTGTGACAAAGTGAGTTGTGTTGTCTAGTTCTTTGTTTCAACATCCATTCATGCCTCAACAATTGGACACAGACTAGTCGAAGTTGTGTCACAACTCAGGAAGCCAGGCAGAAAGAGGCGGACGAGAAAGAAACTTTCCGGCCATCATTTCCCACAACGTTTTTCCAAGTTGCCCGCTTTGAAATGCAACGAAGACTCTCCAGCAACGACAGATCGTGTGGGATCTAAGGACGATGAGGAGCCTGATTGAGTCGTTTGATTTAGTTGGGTCGCAGCGAGGCGGCCCAGGCGGCCTCCCTGGTTCAGACCAGAAGTGTACAAAGTTTACCGTTAATGAAATAGAGTCTTGGATTGCAGATGGCATCATAAAGGTGATCCATGTGCGTTTATTTCAAACGACCTTGGAAAAGCATGGAAAAGCGGGATCCATGATTCCAAAGATCTGCATCTATTGTAATGATTTTTATGATTATCAATGTAGATCTATCTTTGGGATGCATCAGGTCCGAATATATTTTAGTCTAGGTTGATTCAAGAATGATTTTTAATTTGATAGATTTTCATACGTGCAAAACAGCAGCGACAAGCACCACTATGGGAATAGATCTTGGTGCTCTAAAACTCTAGGTCTTAGATAGTCTTAGTTATTTTATGTGTTTTATATTCTATGCAAAAAAAAATCAAATTTATCTTATTTTATATATATTGAATATATTTGGATTATATATTGAAATAATTCATTATATATTTCCTCCAATTTCTTGATTGTTATATAATACTACATAATTAATTATTTATATATATATTATAATATTGTATATATTATATAAATATAAAAAATATTATAAAAATTCATAAAAATTATTTATTTATTATATATATATATTAAATTATATATATATAATGCTTAAATAATTTATTTATATATTATATAATTTAATTATTTGTTTTAATTAATAATTGGAAATAAAGATATAAGATTTAATTTAAAAATATAAATTAAATAATTAATATTTATATATATATAATCTTAAAAATGAAAAAAAAAATAATAATAATAATAATTTAAATAAAAAAAATAATAATAATATTATGAAAATATTTTTTTAAAAATATGGGTAGATGGAAAAATGAAGTGGCAAGAATAAAAGGAAAAATAAATATAAAAAGAATATGTGAAAAATAATATAAAATATAATTATTTATTTTTTGTTATATTATATGATAAAGGTCGAAATATAAAAGTATTTGATTTAATGATTTGAAAAAAATTATATAATATTATAATATGAATTTAATTCGAAAATTAAAAAAATATGTAAAATATAAAAAAATATTATATAAGTTGGTTTGGAAAATATATTTTTTATATAATAATTTAAAATTATAATAAATTTGGAAATTAAAATAATTATTAAAATAAATAATTAAAAATATATTAATATATTTTATATATAATTA